TTCCTTCTACTATTCTTCCTTCATACCTTGGCAAGCTATCTATTCCCCTTTGCTTTAGTGAACTCTACTAGTTAGTTATACACTACATACTACTTATTTATTCACAATAAGACTGTTATTAATATTGCTGTAATAGGTGCAGTAGCCTTCTACTAATATATATATAAGAAAGATACTATTATCTTCTTATCTTCCCTCCATAAGCTTAATAAACTAATTAATAAGAAATAGGGTAAATAACCCCTTTCCCTCCCTTAGTGGCTGACTATTGCAGCTTAGTCCTTAACATCTCAGCCAACCAACCATAGTCTAGCAATTACTAAAGATAAGATTAGTAAGATTAAGCAAGTCCTACCAGAACCTTATTAGGACCTAGCTGATGTTTTCTCTAAATATGATTCTGATACTTTGCCTCCCTACTACGGGGAATTTAACTATAAAGTTGAACTAGAATAGGAGAATGCAGTTAGCTACAGGCCCCTATATAAGATAAATATGGAAGAATTAGAAGTAGTAAGGGAATACATACTAGATAACCTCTATAAGGGATTTATTATACCCAGTAATGCTCCCTTTGCTTCTCCTATTCTTATAGCAGAAAAGCTAGGTGGAGGACTATGTTTCTGTGTTAACTACTATAAACTAAATACTATAATATATAAGGACTGTTATCCTCTCCTCTTAATTAATGAGATTTTGGAGCATGTCTCTAAAGTAAAGATCTTTACTAAGCTAGATATCTGCTAGGGTTTTTATTAGATTCACATGGACCTAGCCTTGGAGGACCTTACCACATTCTACTCATGATATGGCAGCTTTAAATATAAGATAATGCCCTTTAGACTTATTAATAGACTAGCCATATTCCAGTGCTTTATGAACAGTATTTTCATAGATTGCCTGGATTAATATCTGACTGTATTTATTAATAACCTACTAATCTATTCTAATAATAAGTTAGACTACTAGCTCTATATCCATGCTATTCTATAGTGCTTACAGGAGCATGGCCTACAAGCCTTAATAAAGAAATATAAATTCTATGTAATAAAGATGCAGTATCTTAGCTTTATTATCTTAATAGAAGGTATCTAGGTTGACCCAGAAAAGGTCATTATAATATAGAAGTGGAAGACTCCCACCACTGTAAGGGGGTCTAGTTATTTCTAGGTTTTTATAACTTCTATCAGAGGTTTATATAGGAGTATAGTTATGTTGCTAAACCCTAGTTATATTAATAAGGAAGGATGTTCCCTTTACATAGAATAATAACTGTAAGAAGATATTCTACTATTTAAAGATTGCCCTTATAGAAGCTCTACTTCTCACCCATTATGACCTGTCCTTGCCTATAAAGCTAGAGATAGATGCCTCTAATAGTGTGGTTACTAGTATGCTCTCTTAGTAGCAGGGGGGAGAGTGGCATCCTATTACCTACTACTCTAAAACCATAAATCTAGTAGAGCATAACTATAGCATCTATAACTAAGAATTATTAGCTATTATATATGCTTTAGAAGAATGGTGAGCTGAGCTGCAGGGCCTATAAAGAGCTAAACTATTTAAGATATTTACAGACTATTAAGCATTATAATATTTCATATAGAAACAGTGACTAAACCCCTAATAGGCCTAATAGAATAAGTTCTTATCTAGCTTCTGCTTCCTTATTACTTTCCAGCCTGGGAAGCTTAATATACTAGCTAATGCACTCTCCAGGCTGGAAGACCTAGAAGGGACTAATAATTACTGAATTTAGTTAATACTTAAGCTAGACCACCTTAACCCCTAAATCTTAGTAGCTATTACCCCTAGCCTAATGTTAATAGTGGATTAAGTATCTAAAGTAAATTAACTATATAATAGCCTCTAGCCCAAGCAAGAGCTTGCATGGGTGGGTAGTAACTAATAGGAACTCTAAGATAGACTTCTACTCTTCTAAGGATGCCTAGTGGTGCCTAATAAAGGCAACCTATATACTTACCTACTGGATGAAATCTACTGCCCACCATCTTCTGCACACCCAGGCAAGGCTAAGATGAAGAGACTTGTCCGTGCTCACTACTATTAGACTTCTTAGAGATAGGATGTGGACTACTATATAGATAATTACCTTATCTACTATTAAATAAAGATGTGTAGAGACCCTCTGCTAGGTCTACTACAGCCCCTTCCAATCCCTAACCAACCTTGGCAATATATTACTATGGATTTCTGTTCGTTCCTGTGCTCTAAGACAGGTTTTAATGCAGTGTTTATTATGGTGGACTGACTAGGGAAGAGAGTCTTTGCCATCCCCTATTATAAGATAACTACTACTCACAACATGGTGCATCTCTTTATTACTTATATTTACCTATGGACTAGTTTACCAGAAATAATTATCTTAGATAGGGGAGGTTAGTTCATCTTAGATTTCTGGGATAAACTGTGTAAGGTCTTGCAGATCCATCTTAAGCTATTATTAGGATATCATCCGCAGACTAATAGTTAAATAGAAGTCATGAACTAGTGGATTGCATAGTAATTATAACTATTTATTAACTATTACTAGGATGACTGGGACTAGTGGCTATCTATACTAAATTTCACTGTAGCAGTGCTTCTAAGTGAATCTACTAGGGTATCACCCTTCTTTATTAAGAGAGGCTTTAAACCATGCACATCCTTTAACTAGTTAGCAGCTACTAGACTATTAGACCTTAATATTAATCATAAGCAAGTGCAGTAGATGGCTAGATGCATGGAGGAGATCTAGTTATATGCTTATAGAGGTATAGAAGCTGCTTAATATTAATAGAAGTAATAGGCTAATAAGCATTACTGTGCTATTAACTTTAATATTAATAATTACATCTTTATTACCATATTAGATTAGAAGCTTAACTATCTTAGTTAGAAGCTTACTAACCAGCTCACTGGACCATACTAAATTATATAGTAAGAGGGGAATACCTTCTAACTAGATCTCCTAGATTCTATAAAAGTCTACCCTGTCTTCACGCCTAAGAAGCTTCATAAAGCCTCATCCACACCTCCTCTGCCTGGCTAGCTCTAGGACCCGGCTCCCCTGCTAGAAGTTAATAGTGAAGATGAATGGGAGGTTAATAAGATACTAGCATCCTAACTCTACTATTACAAGCTCTAGTACTGGGTAAGATAGCTTAGTCATAATATTAATCTTACCTGGTATCCAGCCTGAAATTTTAGGAACTCCCTAATGTTACTCTGTGACTTCCACGCCTGATATCCAGCCATGCCAGGCCTGCTGATGCGCCTACCAGAATGGCTATAAGCAGCTGAAGATGCTGTATTCCTTAATAATCACCCTGATGACAATAAACCCCAGATGAGGGCATCTGGAACCTAAAGGGGGGGTAATATAATAATCCATCACTATATTCCCGCGGACCTCCTTATAACAGAGCTTTCTACCTATCTTAACTGCTTACCTCTCCAGGGCTATTTGGATTGTTTGCACTATTCCACCCTCTGTTTATATATCTCCCCCACTATGTACATACTTCCTCCCCCTCTTCTCTATGCTTAGTTTTCTATCGAAATACTACCATACCATTGGAATATGAGCAGTGCCATCATATGTACGGCTTCCTTAAAATCTAGTATATACTTTTAAGTTTTATATAAATTAAATAGACCATTAACCATACCTGCTCTCTTATGACTAGCAATAACTATTTATGGCTAAAGAGCCTTAATAGTATTAAGTGCACAAAGCCACTCTTATCTCTTCTTAGTGGTATTAGCCTCTCCAAAGAATTAGTGCACATCTCTATAAATAGTGTCTCCTGCTACCACTAGCTTGATACTTAGAACATAGAGAACTATGGTATTGTAGGTATCTATATGCCTAACCTTAATTAGGCGAGATTTATTACCCTCTATTTCAAAGGTAGGAGATTCCAACCTCTTAGTAAGCTCTAGGTTTGGTGGGATTTAATTACTAGGAAACAGTGTGCGCCATAAACTATTAAGTATCTCTAGTTTAACCTGCTTATTCATGTGCTGAACTGTGCTAGCTGTTATAATAGTGTGAAGGTTCAGCCATTATTTATATAGGATGGTTGTGCCAAACCAGTAGTCTCTATGCCTATGTGTGATATATATATATTAAAGCTCCTTTCCAGGGGCAGTTTCTTTAATCTATCTAATAAGATCCTTAGTTTAAGATATAGAAATTAGGGTATCCACAAGGACAGCTTTAGAGGCTCTATGTATTAAAGTATAGCTGATAGGTGAAAATATACTTATTTCCCCAGCTCTTTTAATTGTGAGAGGCAGGCAAGAAGAAATATATATATCTACTTAAAGAATTAAAGCCATCTTGGATGAGTAGCAGGTAATAGTGAAAATAAGTTATAATTAGTCCTAATAGGAAACATCCTTTTATAAGTGCTGCTCTCTTATACAATCTATAAATTACCAGACACCGCTATGCCAAGGTTAATAATAAATAATCTAATACTAGAGATGCAACTAGTTATATAAACTAGAATTATACTATAACTATCCCCTATATTACACCCTCACTTAGTTAGTAATAGACTATTAAATATTATCAAACACGCATTTTTGTGGCAGCAGGTATACTAATGTAGATGATAGCTCTCATAGAAAAGTTAATAAGTTTTTATCTCTCGCCTAGTATAAACATGAATTTTCCACGCTGTTATTAATACTCAATCTCACTCTACAGCCTAAATCTAGGTGGATTCTCACCAAAGTCAACCTAAAAGTAGACTATTGGACTTACGAAAAAGAATACGGTCTTGTGAAACATGTTTCAGCCTGAGGCTGACACGGTCGTTCTGGGTGATTATTCATCATCCCAGGGGAGAGATTGTTGGATAGTCAGAGGCACAAGGGAATATAAATTTTTACATACCATGGTAAACCATTGAACATTGAACTTTTCGTTTCAATTGCATATACAGAGTCTTATTAGCAAAAGAGGAAATTGATTATCGACAACATATGACATGGTTCGAAAACTGGAAATCAAAATTCACGATGGAACCTTGCTTCGCGGCCATCTCTATGCTGCTCAGCCAAAAGCCCCAGTGATTATAATGTCTGCCGGGGTATGTGTCGACAGTCTGCCTTGGCGTGAATATGAAGTTGACCATTTTATAACAGTTATCCGGGATCAAGGAACATTTCCTGCCCACATACGCTGCGCGCCTCAACAAGGAGGGGTATTCTGTCGTGACCTATGACCATCGGACCTGGGGTGAGAGTGAAGGTCTTCCTCGTCATCACTCTAATCACTATGAGCAGAACAAGATACGCATGATGTCATTCACTATGTCTTGACTCAGCTAGTCATTGATCCCACACACGTTGCATTATGGGGCTCAAGCTTTTCGGGGGGATTGCCTTGATCGCGGGTGCACTTGATCCTCGTATCAAAGTAGTTCTCCAGTCAGGTACCCTTTATCTCTGGGAAGGTCACAAGGGAGCGCCTTTCTGAATCTTGAGTCGTAAAGTTACTCGAAGATAGAGGTCGAACTTCATCATCGAATCCCACCTATATTCCCATCTACCCAGAGACTCTCGATGAGTCTCACACCTCATCGAATGGCGTTATGATGGGAACAGAGGAATGTTTTCGCCATTATGCGGATATTCGGAACATCGAGCCTTTCCGAGTAAATAAAATCACGCTCCAAACTTTGTTCCACGTCATGAGATCCGAGCCCCAGGAGTATATATCTCAAATCTCACCAAAACCACTGTTGATGGTTGTTGGTGTCAGGGATTCCCTCATTGATGCCCAGAAACAAATTGCCGCTTTTCAAAAGGCGAAGGAACCGAAAGAACTGTTAGAGCTGGATTGTGGTCATTTCGACATATACCGCGGCGAAATTTTTGAACAAAACATTGCGACGCAGATTGCCTTCCTCAAAAAGTACCTTTAGGGTCTAGACAACCATGTTTCTGCCATCTCAATACAGAAACTCACGACTTCAGAGTTCATGGGCTTTATGAATTAGAAAAATGATCGTTTAATAATTCTCTTCCATAATTCCCCCTTAGTTTCATCTCTCGCAAATGGTTTGGTCTATCCACTAGAAGGTAGCTAGTTTCAGTTGGGTCTTGAAGCAATTCGACTCTACCGATAGATCATGAGCACCGAGTAAAAAGAAGACAACTGGAAGCACTCCGAAAAATAAAATCTCATAAAAGACTTTTCTTCTTCATTTCTCCTGCTGGCGAACTCATATTAGACAGGTAAACTTAGATTTTTTCTCTTTTTTACTCGAAGAGCGATTGACCGAACTTTCATTTACCAAGCAGGTGTGCAGATGGCCCCTAAGAAGCAGACTTTGAATCAAGATATCGAGAAATTCGCCTACAGAGATAGTTTCGCATTGTTTGGGTCACAACAGAGGAGCTTAACCATCTGAAAATAGCCAGCTGCAAACTTTTGCCGTGAACATATTTTCCTGCCATGTTTGCGGTATAATATTTGTACAGTGTACGGAGGAGTTAGAAGCACTTCAGCTCCACAGGAGGCGAGGTATCGGCAGTCTGATGATATGTATCTTAATGCCTTGTACCCTTGGTCCGAGGTCTGATTACCCACTGAGATTCTAGAAAACTCCGGATCGACATGAATTGAGATTATGATCATCTCCGGGCCTCGGTTCGAATTGACATGCTATTTCAAGTCCCACGGCTTTTCTTAAATGATGAGCCATTCTACCTGCTCCAGCGGCATAAACTACTTTTCACACAAGATTCGTTTTTTGATTGAATGATTACATCATGCCTCATTGGACTTTTGAGCTCAGCCCAAACGCTTTGTCCGCGGCCGAGAAGGCTACACTCGCTCGTCAAATCACTGAGACGTATCGAGAGATTGGCATTCCCACCTTTCTTGTCAATGTGTTTTCATGAACTGCAACCCGGCAATTTCTATAGTGGTGGTGAAGCGCCACCAAAAGCCATCTTCTTCTACATTGACCACGCTGCAAGTGGTTTCCCCTCCGAAGATCGGCGCTTGGCATTCATTGCCCGCGTAAACAAGATCGTTCGACCCATCCTTGAACCAAAAGATATCAAGTGGGAGTACAACATCTACGAGCATCCTCGAGTCAACTGGAGAGTCAATGGTATGATTCCGCCTGTTGATCATCCAGATATCTGGCAGCAGTGGTTTGAGGGGAACCAACCTGTGATGTATGATGACCAGCTGCCGCCAAAGGATGAAAAAGTGATCTTCCACAGTGTGGCAGAGGATTGAAAAAACCGAGTAGGGTGATCGCTTTGGAATGAACCAAAGACATTGGGTTTATATATGAACATTTCCCAATCTGGTCAAGTTGCAGACCCCACTCAAATCTTAGCCCGGGTACTTCAAAGTTATCCAGAATCCTGTCTTCAATAGAGGTAATTCTACTCCGAGAGAGAATAGACAACTTTCAAATCATTGGATTGTTTGTTCCAGTCCAGAAGATATGTAGATTGACAAATGTCAGGAAAGCCATTGTGCTGGCACGGTAGATTTAGAAAGACAGTGGTAAACCTAGCAATCTTCTGGTACGGGAGGCTTTCGCATTTATATCATGTCTAGCTCACAAACAAGCGCGCAAATCTCAATAATGAAGGAGCTATCCTGTTTTGTAAATTTGTGCCCTAATGCTTAATATTTAGTTAGGAACAGTATTCTACAGCAATCCCGCCTCAAAGAGTCGTCTCATATTCGATGGGCAAGGAAGGAGCTTTCTTTGACCATGGAATAATGTAATTAATAGCTGTCAGTCAACCAACATCCCCACGTTATGCTCCATGGATCGGATATTTAATGACAACCAGGGAAAATCTCGCGCGCTCGTGCGAGCAATTTTCCCTCTGTCTTATAATTTAGATGAAAAATAGGAGGAAAGGCTGCAGCTGGACCCTCTCCTAATGGGAATGATCATACACACGAAATGGAAGCCACCGTCATGAAAATAACTCTGTGGAAGCTCTTGGGCCTGAGGACTCCTCGCAGTGGTGTGGACCAATCTGGCTAACGGTGACGCCTAGGTCATTCAAACCTTTTAAACAACTCTCCGATTTGACTACTTCCTTGACAACTAGAGGGTCGCTAAGATTGTGGCATTTGTCAAAGGGAGGACAGGACTCATCATTGCGAAAGTTGTACCGTCCTATATACTCTCGTCCAAGAGACAGCAGAGTAGCTTGGTGGTACATGTGGTATTCAGCCAAGAAAAGTTCGCTATAGGCCATATGAAGTCTTATGAGATGGACCATTCTCTCCAAACACGACATGATAATCGTGCTAGCCTTGGCATCAAAAGCACTAAACTACCTTTTTTACCCCACTATGGACAAGTCACTGCCCCACCAGACTGCAGATCATTTCTTTAGCAAGCGGTACTACCCGCGACGACCCATACCAGTAGTTGTGCCACCCCCGCGTATCTTCTCTTTGTGAAAGTAAACTAATGACTGACTGTCAGAATAAACTTAGATAGAATTATTGAACTCGCAATCCATGGGCAGCTACAGCATGAATCGACAATGCTGTGAAACTGTTGACGTCACTTGACTCGTAAATATCCAAGTTTTTCTGCCCAGGGTTCCAGCCAGCCTGAAAATATGTGTGATCAGCAGGACGAGGCTGGCTGAACACCACACACTAGCTATCATCATACGCCATACATTATCCAACAGTAGCACTGACAGTATTGGAATCTGTGATTGTGTGATGATCTGGACTATCTCCTGCCCGTGATTCGTCAGGGTTCAATGTTCAGCTTTCTCCCCTCCCATCAGCAAAAGCCTGTAATTTGTGCCTCAGCTGCGGTTTTCCAAAAGTGTACAGAGGATCTACGCACCTATTGGTAACAAGGAGAGGAGGGGTAAACCACCTTGTAATTTTGAGCCAGACCCGTTATTGAACTTCCCTGCTGGGAGTTTGTTAAAGGTTATAAACCCCGCTGTGGTGTCTTGAGACAATGAGCAATTCCTTTCCTAAAATCACACTTTCCCAACCACGTTGATTGTCCTTTTACGAGGATTGACAACCATGGCCACAGAAGCGATCATTCAGGACTTCATCGCGAATAAAGTACCAGTGTTTCGAGTGGGAGAGGTGGAATACGAGCGTTCCGTTGCGACGGCCAATCTCCTGTACCGGTTCACTCGACCGGATTGCGTTGTCCAACCAGAGGGTGCCGGCCATGTTCAGTTCATTGTCACACGGGCAAAAGCTCGGGATGTGTCTCTCACTATTAAGAATGGCGGTCACTCTTACGCTGGATTCTCCAGCACCGACACCGGAATCTTGTTGGACTTGGTCCGGATGAAGAAGGTGGAGATCGATCGGACAGCAATGATAGCCACCCTACAAGGTGGCTGCCAATGGGGCCATGCGTACAAACAACTAGTTAATGAGCGTATGATGGAGCGATCATCAACGGTGGACGCTGTCCCACTGTGGGTGTGAGCGGCTTCACCTTGGGGGGTGGTCTCGGCCCGTTCACCCGCCGTTTCGGCATGGGATGTGACACCCTGAAGGAGGCGACAATTGTCACTGCGGACGGTAAATTAGTGACGGTGAGAGACAGCGATGACCCCAAGTCAGACAAGGGTAGGCTCTTCTGGGCGCTGTGCGGTGCCGGAGGCGGCAATTTCGGAGTGGTGGTCGAGTTGAAGCTCAAGATTCAAGAGTTGGGGAACAGCAAAGGGGAAGTGGTCGCAGGCCGTTTCACCTGGATGCCCAACACGGACGAGATGGATGACTTCATGCAAGCAATGATCCGCTTCTACACAACGGACTGGCCAGACAAATTACCCTGGATACCTCCTGGCTCCGCGATCTAAAAGACACCTCAAGCGAACTGAGTGTTCGGGTTCTGTCCTATTTCGATGGTAGCAAGGACGACTTCGACGATGTGATTAACAGATTTGTGGAGCAACCAGAACTCAAAAAGCAACTGAAACGACGATCCATGGCGGAACCATCCACCCGCTTCCTCCATGAGACTCTCGTGAGCCAGTGGTCTGAAGAAACCGTGAAGTCTTTCCCGACCAACCGTTCCTACCAGATCTACACCTCATTCGTGTTCAAGAACGACCGAAGCCGAATGAAGGCTGTCACCGTGGCCATCCGCAAAGAGATGCAGGCCTTCCGCCGTCTATTCAAGGGGGAACAGGGGCTGCTCCAAGTGACTTGGATTCATTCCGGCGGAGAGGCCAGTAGGAAAAAACGCTCCGCGACCGCGTTCCGCTGGCGTGATTGCACCTACCACATTTACATCATGTTACAGTGGGAGGATAAATGGCTGGAGCGCGATATGTGGGGTTTCCTTGGAGAGTTCAAAAAGCAACTGCAGCCCTACTCAATGATGGGACGGGCCGCATTCATAAATTTTCCTGATCGGACTCTCACCACCACCGCCCACGAGAAGGTCTACTATGGAAACAATCGCCAGGAGCTACAGCGAATCAAGCGAATCTGGGATCCGGACAATTTCTTCGATTGGGGTCAAGGTATTCAGTCTCCGACGTCTACCCGACAGAACGTGGAGTTTCAGTCCCGGATCCTTCCCATATCGCTCAGCAGTGAGACGGCCGCTGCTGATGAGGAGGAAGAGGGAGGGGAAGACGTTTCATTACATGAGAAAGATCTGACCGATAAGTTTGCTGGACCGCAGTGGAAGGACGTTGCCCTCCCTCCTCAAAACGCCGTTGGAGGGACTGGGGTTTTTGCCTTGACGGACTTGGGATTCTAAGCTCCATTCATTCTGCCTTTGAGAATTTGGAAAAATGTGCAAACTAAAAAGAAACAAGAGCTCATAGTGCCAAAGCATCCTCGAACTCAGTGCGCGAAAATGAACGTCCCCTGATTTCCTTTACCTTCCCAGTCCCCTTCCATCACACTGCCATCTTCGTCTAGCTCCCCTCGATAGATCCACGAATGTCGCGCATACTGCTTGACGAAAATCACCTGGTGGGTGGGAAACACCATCCCCTTGATCCAATACGCACCGGCATTGTCCGTTCCCTTTCCTACAATGACCACCTGTTCGGACTTTTTCCCGGGGGAGGCGGTCAAATCGAACTCGGACGACCAACAGGTGTCTTCATTGGCTGCGCTGTATGTTCCTTTCCATCGACCACTGATCCGCCAAATTCTCTCCCTATCCCATCTGTTAGCACTCGCAACTGCTTACCTAAACAGACGTGTCAGCAACTTACCTCGCGGATACCACATCCTCATCATTCACCTGATGAAAGACAAAGAACCCCATCGGTCCATTGCGAACATCCCCCATGACCCATGGACCACACTCAGCGCGGGATCCAATTTTCCAGAGTACACCCATCCATGTGTGCTGTAGTTCTTTTGTAACTTCATCGAATCATCTGAGTCGAGCGTTCCTGCGATCGTGAACGAGCCAGCATCATCAATACCTTGTCCCTTGATGCGGGCCCGGGTGCAGTCGTTCGGGTCTCTTTCAGCCGAGAGAACAAAATCAGATTCGCCGTTGGTAGTTCCGTCTGAATTGTCCACCGTGTAGACGCTGGCCCATTGGCCATTGAGTATTCTAGATAGGGATTGTTTAAGCTTTCTTCGCCTTCAAAAGTAGTTTACTCTTATAGAAGGGAGTAGAATGGACTCACTGGGACTCGATAGACATTGCAGTTAGTTGAGAGGGCAGAATTCTCTGAACCTGTTAGTACTGCAGTTGCCTTCGAGCGAGCTCATGGAGCTACTATATATATTTCGTCCTTAGCTCACGCACTAACCTAGGAGGGAATATCCCTCATCTTCAAACACTAAATCCAAACCCCCTGACGAATAAGAACAGCTGTGACGTGTCCAAGCTGATAGATAGACCAGGTGACTTGACCCCAGTAAAGATCCTGTCCCACCGTCTGGATCTGTGCTGTTCCATATAAGCATTGAACTGACTCTATTTCGGAAGTGTAATACCGCGGTCAGCCACTTCATATCGGTTCCAAGTCTTGCGACGTTCAAAATATGAGGCACCCAGTTGCACAGCTGGCAAGATTTGAATGCTCATAGGGGACATTTCGGCCTTTGATGGACGTTCTCGTGAATGATAAGTAGACTGCCTACCGACGCCTCTGCGAAAGCCCAAGTATACTGCGCCACATACAAGCCAAGAACACTGAAATTCTAGGATGTAAACTAAGGAATATGAATGGCGTGAATGGCTGACTGAAGGGAAATAGGAGGCTTAGAGAAATCTGGAAAGCACCCTTGGAAGCTTACAAGAGAGTGGTAATGGGGATAAAGTATAAGCGCTAGTAGTGATGAGAAATAAGACCATGATGGTAAGTAGCAGGGGAGAGAGGATGTCAATTCCCCAGAGGCTCTTGGGTAGATAAGAGAGGTAAGTAGAATGTGGTGGATGCTTCGATGTCTATTGCTAACAGTACCGTTTCTTCAACATCAACAGAAACATCAACCTCGAAACCTGGAATGCTACGGTTGTTACCAAAACTTTAAATCATTTTCTGGAATTCAATCCATCTGGAGTCTGGAAATTGCGACAGATGTCCTTATGTTTCCGGACGACAGCGTAGTGGAGTGGACTTCGGCCGATGTCGTTGAGTCTCTGGAAGGTTTCCCCCTCGCTTGACGAGGCGCTGTAGGAGGGCTAAGTGCCATCGTGACGGCTAGAACTGGGTTGCAGGAGTCGTTTGTATAGGGGGTCATGTAATAAGCTGTACAGCGCTTTGTTGGCCAGGCTGAGGCGATAGATGTCGCCGGGCCAATCTAGCTAATAAATATAAATATTGTGGATGGCCAGGAGGGGATTGACATATGGCACTTACGTAGTCCGCGGCTAAGAAGAGCGCTAATTGCGTTAAACTAGTGTTTGAAGGTGGATGGATCGTCTCGAACATTATGTATGAATGTCAGTGTAGGAAAAGGATGAGAATGGATCTGGACAGGAAGAGCCCTCGGTTCATATGGCCAGAGCTAAAGGTTGATCTCGTATCCTGTTCTACGTTTTCTATCTATCGTTAATTGGTGATCAATACGAGCTGCAGATTTTTTAGCCCCCTAGACAGGTCAGAAATAATACTACAAGAAGTGAAAGCAAATGTACCCCGAAAGGGTTGTGGATCTTAAGTTGGTTATTTCGTCTCTGTCTTCGACTCCTCCAATCTTGCCAGTAGCTCATTCTGTGGATATTCATCTTTCCATCGTCTCCTGGGCAGTTCAAACACGGACGTAATCCGCCCATAAGAGATACCACCCAGCTGTCCCAAAGGCCGCAATTTATTCGGGTCAATGTGTCTAAACTCTGCATCAACAGCATCCTCTCGAACCCAGAATCGGGTCGCCTCGATAAGCACCAGTGAGGCAATGCTCATCCCAGGCTTGGTATGGTCTTCGAACTCTTTGATATCAACCACTTTCCCTTCTATGGAGAACACAGACTCCTGAACGCGGGCAGGCTTAACAGTTGTCGTAGGCGCCTCATGCAGACCCGATATCTCCCACTCAGAAACACCATACGGCGCATCGATGGAAGTGGCATTGACTGCCTCGATCATGTTCTCCGAGACTGTATTAATGACTACCTCGCCTGTTTCTTTCAAATTGCGGAAAGTATCCTTGACCCGGCCCGGCCGAGAGGAGAACCCAACGATAAACATCGGCGGATCGTGGTCAATGACCTGGAAATAGCTGAACGGGGCGAGGTTTTTGGTCTTTCCGTCGCCGGACACGGTGCTCAGGAATCCAATCGGGCGTGGTGCAATGCCAGAAACAAGTAGATGATAATTGTTGATCATTGGGCGGTCCGGCGCGTAGGGGTCGATCTCGCGGTGCTTTTTAGTAGCACTCGCACCGCTGTCTGGGACTCCTTGCCCATATGCCCAGTCTGGGTTGGGAGATTTGGTGACATTGATAGGCTTATTCGAGTGGTCGAAATCGGGGCGATTGGCTTGGATAGCGTTGAAATCGCCCACTTCCGAGACGATCTGGTAATTGGCTTCTGCATTCGTTGTGGCGGTATCTTTCTTTTCAGTCCCAGTGGCGGCCACAGCGACAGCTGACGAAGCCATTCTGACATTGTTCACATCGTAGAATGCTCTCCTGCGATACGCTTGAGCCAAGACCGATGGCTGTCTGTGGTTGTTGAGTCAGTTATCTTATGTGACGATTGACTTTTGAATCTTGGCTTTTCAATTCAACAAAATAATATACGAACCTTCTTGACAACAATCGTCCAATACCTTTCGCGCATGTCGCCATGATAGTGATGTTGAGAACATGAGGCTCGTAAAAGTCCTTTTTTTTTCCAAGCGACGATTTCGCAGGAGCTTGAAATATCCGGGTCGGGATGTCCAGCCGACCGCGGATTGTCCAAAGTCGGGATCCACATCCGATTTCTTACAAATCAAGGTAGATATCCGGAGTAGATTAGAACGTATTTGATCGCGAATCACGAGAGCACTATCCCTAACGCCATTGTCGAGTTCTTAAATAGCTACAACCTTCAGCAATCGTCTGCCTATTACATCAACCTCGGCCATCCACGTCAAGTTGAGCAGCCAGATCCAACAGCTGCGTCGGCGAAATCCCGACAGTCATGTCCGTATCGAAAAAGTCCCAGCCAGGCTCTTCACTCGTCATCGCGAGCCCCCGAGCTCTGTCTGCCGTGTAATCCGTCTGCAGGGGAACCATTAGCGGGTCATAGACGGGCGTCAACGGCGTCAGCAACTGCTCCAGCTGGGTGAGTTCGAGCTTCCGGAGAGGCGCTACCGAGCTCCCTTTTGAGATCATTTTGTCCAGAATACATTGGATATCTCCAAACCAGGAGTCGTCGTGCAGAAGAGAAGGTGCCACGACGCGGATTAAATGCAGTAAAAAGGCGGAGGAGAATGCGTCTTCGAGTTGGAACGGCAGAAATGCTTCTGATATCGGGGTTAGGGAGTTTACTGGGCGTGTCTGGCATCATGCAAACGAAGAACAGGACGTACCTAAGAGATCCTCATCACCTATAACACGGAGGACTCGCAGCACCGTTTGCGCGGAATCGACGCATGACTGAATGAGGGAGGCGACAGCGGGTGTTAAGGGGATAGAATGGGACTTTTGGGTATCTGGCCGCTCGATATGCATGTGCAGGGCACACATTACTAGAGGCCTCGTCGTCAAAACCACACACTGTTACGTCAGTGAACGGGATACTACTCGAGACAGATACGGGTTACTCAACATGATGATAAGAGAGAATTAGCCTGAGCGCCATCCGTGATGCTCGATTGATCGACCCTTGGAAATGGGTATTTAACAGCGCCGTCACGTCCTTAGACAGCTCAGCGAGCTGCCGCAGAATTGACTGGGTGTTTTTGATAAGGGAACCTTCAAAGTCTCTCCCCACTCCGTATACCGCTGCATCAGAGTTAGCTAGTCCAAAGCGCAAGTAGACGATGGGACGAACTGGTCAGGATATTCGCCATGAGGCGAGACAGTCGGATATGGAGCGTCATATTGAGTGCCTCCAGAGAATGATCATGATGGCAAGGGAGTTCCGTAGTAATGTCCTCGTCCCTGATAGACGTTGGGCCACCCATGAGGGCGGAGAATTCCCGATCAATCATGTAGACCACCCAGAAGACGTGGTTGCAAAAGCGAGAATGCTCTGCCCCGACGACGTCTTCCGGCATATGCCGGTGTATGCCTTGGACGATGCAGACACGCAACGCCTGTCCGATCTATATCGGCTGTTAGTTTGATAAAAGATCACTCCTCCAGTGACCACTCGACGGTACTTGCATGTTGAAAAGCCGCCACTCTCATGTCAATCGACTGAAAATATAGTGCGGCTAAGGCGAGTGCTCTGATTGAATCGAGGGGCTCGCAGTATATTCCAGGCAGGTCCGGTAGTAGGGCCATGGCCCTAGAAGCATACTGAGATCCAGATGGTCCCTCTTGCGAGCTACTCTGTACGACAAATGCTTTGCCAAAGGCCAGTATCAGTAGGTATTGGGCGTACCAAAGCCTTGATGATGTTGCCTTCGTCGCGGGATCCCTGTAGAGCTCCTGCAAGTGGTGGAGATAGCTGGGCTCATCGATGATATAGAATAGGTGTCCAAAATAGAACTTGACCGTGTTGAAAAGGAACAGTGCGTAGTCCAGCGGGGCAAGTTCGTTGTGTCCGGCACCTCGTCACTTCTCAGGGGCGTCCAATGCAATTTAAACGCAACCCCGTCCAGATGCCACGGATCAGGCAGATAGTTGGATTCTAGGACATGTTTTCCGATCAAGGCCAATACTCGACGGCAAAACGACCATGATGAGGAGGGACCCATATAAACTGTGACTTGCATGAGCAGAATGACGTGTGCTGATCGCTTGAAGCGCAAACTTACAGTATCTTCCGTCAGGAGCTTTTGCAAACGTATAGTCATTGTCCGCTAGTGGGTTGTGCCGAAATATAGACCCATTGTCATCTTCCAGTGCAAGCTGAGTCGTATCACTGTCCACAGTAAGTTGTCGCGAGCTGCCAGTTGGTCTGCTCTGGTCAATTACGTCACCTGTGGCCGAAGCATTCGGCTTCAATGCAGACTCAAGAGGAGGCTCCAAAATAGGTTCCTGCACACTTGATTCCCGTATTGGAGCCGGTAGCCTGGAATGATGATCAATACTGCAGCCCTCTTCCAGTTGGCGAAGGTAGCTAGGAAGAACAAATAATCAGCCTCCGGTCCTCTGAGATGCGATCAGTCAGCGGTTTAAAGTCACCTTTCTGGGACAGATATCATCCGTTCTTCAGGAGGAAAGTTACAGATCTTTTTCTGGCTATCGCATCTAGTACAAGGGTGCGTCCCGGAGCACTTGAGCTTCATTGAGCGACATCGCTCACAACTTCATTGAGTCAGTCATCAACCCTAAAATAGGAAACAGGTATATATGAAGGCTAGCTCACGCTCTTGCACTTCTTTTTTTTCCCTTGAACCGGTCATTACGGGATGCCGGCATGCCGGGCAGGTTTCTATTAAGACAATTCAGACCATGTCAGAGACTGAAGTAACAATGCAGGTTCGGCTTCGGCTTCCGACTCTCCCTTCTTATAAGCGGAGAGATCCACTGCCGGGCCTGGGCCAATGAGAGTTGACCATTGTCGTCAATAATCATGGACAGAATACATAACGTAATTCCCGGGTCAGCCGGCCACCCCATTCCGATTTCGACACATTTGAATCCTGAAGCTATCCAAATCAACCAAAACAATAGATTTTGAATAGATCTAGCTAGTACGGCGTGTAGGGAATCTAGTTCTAGTATGCCTATAATAAAGCAATTAGAACAACTTGGTGGCGCGCGTTTTAGGGGTTCTAAAGGTAAAGGCGCAGAATCAATAGATGATCCCCCAATCTCATTCCCTTGCTCATTTCTTGCCTGGATAAGATCCCTAGCTTCCTGCACGCAGAGTCCTTCATTAGGAGTCATCTGGCGTCTAGAACGCGCGGCGCTAATCCGCATACTCTCCACATTCAAGACGGTAGCAACGCCGATGGTCGAAGTAGAAGCACATGTGCTACCAACTCACTTACGATTCAAACAACGAAACCAGCTTATTATCGCTCGCCTCAGCTCTCCTTTAGGAGGCCCTATTCACAGTGTAATGGCCCGAGCAAAGGTTCGAAGCACGCACGCAAGACGCCGTCCTCGTTTCCCTTTGCCACTAGTCTTAAATGACCACTATTTAGCTGCCATTTGCCTTCCACAATAGATCTAGAAGGGTTCTAAATTATTTTGTCTATCAACCTAAAGGCCAATAGTGCGCCTAGAGTTGCATAACCGAACCGCTAAAATCGAATCCGACCCTTGACTGAAATCGCAGCGGTTTGAACTCGCCCAAGCTCGGACCGAATGCAACTCTAAGATTATCTATAATATTCTCTTAATAAGAGATCTTTCTACCTACTAAAAGTAGTATAGACTAAAGTTACATACATAGTATGTGTGGAATGGGTATCTATAATCTAACCTATATAGATTTAAAGGTGGATTACTAATATTATGGATTAACCTAAAACCCATATGGGTTAGATTGAACCCCATGCAGACCCAATCCATGACCAGTCTAAACAGAGTGTGGGGCTGGGATCGCCATTTGGACTCTCCATGGCGGCGCTCTGCCGCTTCTTGAAGCCTTCGTTGTTCTTCACAGCTGACATCGTAATTCGGTTATTGTTTGCTCCATCCCTTGTCGAAAGAAGTATTTAGTAGATAGACGAATGACCTAAATTGTAAGCAACATAGTAGGGAGCCCGCTAGCTAGCGAGGGGAATGGACTGTGGCGGAGGGGGTCTACTCCTTGACTGCAGAGTGGATTGTTGCCTCTGGCATAGACAGCCTTTGGCCACGATTGATTTAGTCACCATTCCAAAGCATACGCCGATTCGATAGTACCTAATGTACCCCGTCAGCACATAGATAAATTCGGTCCATCTTCAAAATCCTCTGCAAGTCCAGTCACCATAGCGAGATCACTATCTCAATTGCATCAGTCGCGACGCCCGCATTCTGTCCTCTTATCGCAGCCCATTACTTCGAGGGATAATTAGGTTGTGTCGTTTCGCTGTGAGGAAAGCACACAATAAAGCCAGTAGTCAGCGAAGTTCTTTTGAAATAGAGAGAATACGCTTACCTCTATCGCTGTCCCTCTGTTTGACAAAACACGCTTCGGTATGCTCTAGTCTTTGCGGTTAGACATCATGCAGTCATTCCGAGGGACCTCGCGGAAAATAAATGACTTACCTGACCTATCCGGGTAGTTAAGTCCCTTTTAGGAATAGGATCTATGCACGAGGCAAGCTGATTGCCATTGCTCGCAGAACATGCAATGATTATTAGCTATGCCGGAGGGGATGTAGATTTCTGACCTGGTATTTATAGGTGCAAGATCTTCTTGAGCATGGTAGGCTCTGACTGTGTCCTCAATTTTGAACAGGTTAATGGAAAATTGGACGGGTACTGTAAAATGGAGCATCTCCACAGAAAAAAAATCAGAGGCTGAGGAGACAATCACTCGCACCTAAAACAATATTCCTTAAACCCTAATTAAAGCTGGTGTTAGATGTTCCATGGATTATACCCACTGCTTTACATGCCTTATATTTTAATATTTCGGCCCGTGTTCTTCTTCGCCTATTCTCATGAAAACGATCCTTTACTCAGCATAAACTGAAACACTAATTAAGTATACACGAACTACCTCATATTTACCCACTATTTAGACTGCAGTTTTTGGCATTGTAGAAATTTAGCACAGGTGCACAGTTTCTGAACGGAGGTATATCTTATCTGGTAGATCAATCCATCTCATCTTTCCCACGGTCTGTCGACCTCCAAAAAAAAAAAAAAAAAAGAAAAAAAAGAGTTAACTAGCGTCAATCAAAGGCCTGGAAATTCCCCAATCCATTGACTATCTCGTTCCACTGTTGACTATCGTTCACTAATACATAGTTAAAGCCACAGGCGGGTATCTTAGCTATAACGGATCATGTGCCTCATCTTTTGACATGCCAACTTAAGCGCTCAGCTTCGCCGAACTGGTTGTGTTCCGAAATAGTAGCGTTCGTGTGGGCCTGCGTTAGCAGCGATGTTCTCTCCACCAGACCAGTACATATAGGACTGGCTGACAAGGTAGCCCGCGCAGTTGCGTTGTTCAATATCAAAGCCCTTGCATTCTTGAGGCACATTGGTCCATTTTGGGTTAGGAGACCGCAGAAGAGGAGGCATGAAAACCTTGAACCCGTTCATGTTTATTGGAAACCCCCATCAATCAACACCAATCCCAGAGACCCTCCACTCGCTCCGAGGAGTGTAAAGTCTGTCTCGAAAAAAGAAAATACCACCCACAGGTCAGAACAAATTTTTGAAAACGCGTCACATTTTGCAATTTCTACAATTTACCGGTCTCCTAGCGGGCATTTACATTAATTAACGCGTAAAGACGCGTCTAAACTGCCGTGATGGCGCCTAGGTGGCCCAAGGTGAACGACAGCCCTGAACACATCGACGAGCACGCCACTTACCTCAGAGAAGCATGCAACCAGCTGCAAGCGGTGGGTAGAGGAAGGCGAATCAAGTTCCATGGAACGTAGTGCAGCCATACTTAGCCTCAACCCTTGCGCTCATTGGCAGGGTCCTGCGACAGCCTGTGATGGATGAGATCCTGCAGCACGTCCAGGACGCGGCTAAATGCACACAGAACATCCAGAACGACATCACGGTCACTAAGAACTCTGTCGGACTCAGCACTACTCCGATAAACCCAGCCAACTTTAGCGGAGGAAGAAGAAATGCCGCTGCGACCTGGGCGCAGGTGGCGGCACCCGCTAAAGGCGCGCCAGCTTTCCCCCGCCTGCACCACAAGGAGTGCACACCGCCAAGACCCAAGCCACAGTTACAGCATACAAGGACCGTGTTCCTCCACTCTCCGCAAGGCTCCGGCCAGGCAATCCCGGCTCCTGTCCGGCCGTTCAAAAGCCTTGACCCATCCGACCTGATCGCGCCGCCTCCTGGAAGCTGACCGGAAGGATTGATGCTGCTGGACTGTCATCCGGTAGGCCAAGAAGCCGAGCTGTGTACCGCAGCTGACAGCCCTCAAGGAGGACTACGGCCTGAGTTGGGCTTGCTTCCCTATTCAAGAGACCCATCGGGTTGGTCTTCAGCATTCGCGTAATCGTACGGGCTTGTCGTTAATCATCCTTTGCATCCCAGCGAGCCGGTCCTTTTGACCACGCCACCAGAGTTACGCTCCGTACAGGGCTACCGACTGTACCGCGGCCACCTCGATCTGCCAAAAGATTATGTATCTCTCCGGCGGCCACTGGCTAACATTGACGCCGTGGTATAAAGCAGATACAATCCACACACCGCCAAGGTGGTGTGAATATGTCCTCTGCCCCACCAAACAGCCCAATAACACAGTAGCAGCTAATACCACAACAGATAAGGCAAAAAACTCTCATAGCAGAAGCAGACTGAGGAGTCCAAACTGCGAGACAGAGACAGCGATTTGTTGTCTGATCCTATCGAGCAAAAAACTACGGCGGTCATGGCCACTGCCGTTCCTGTTCTAGTAGGTAAGCAGTGCCGCCCTGAGGTCGCACGACCTGGGAGATTCACTGAAGTGTGAGTTTGATTGAGAAGTTCAATTCGCGGACAAGGGCTAACTCAATGGTCTGAATAAAAGTCCCGTTTAGAGCCCCATGAGCTGCTTGAGGACTATGGATTTATCAGTAGTAAGATTGTATATGAATTGCCCCCTTTCCGGTACAGTAAGAGATTATGTGGAAGACACTCAGAATTGGACTGGCTAGAAGCAAGTGCTGTACCTACCATGAATAAGAAAAAGGTGTGGACTATTTCGAACATTAAAGCTGAATTTTGTTGAACGTCTACTATCGTCAAGTAAACTAGTGGTTAACCCAGTTTGACATTCTCAACCTCACGCAAGTCATCGCCCTTCCCCTGGCTGTTGTCTGTGTCGGGCGTAACAGCGTCCTCAGCATCCACCAGCATGCTCTGCGGCAAGTGAAGAAGGATTTTTTCACCGGTAAACAGCCGATCGATGTGCTCCAGCGAGAGATTTCGTGTTTCAGGGTAGAAGAAATAGATCAGGGGAATAAAGCAGAAATTGAAGACACTGAAATAGATGTATGTGCGCCATCCAATGCTTTTGATGCTGACCGGCGTGATTTCCACGACAAGGAAGGTGAATATCCAGTTGGACGCCGTGGCGAGCGCAGCTGCGCGTGTGCGAATGGCAAGAGGGGCATACTCCGCAGGCACTTCGAAACGTCCATGAGCACGGAGGAAAATATCAGGATGGTCAGACAGGGAAACACTCACAGAGCCAGGGGATTGCAAGCAGGCCGACAGCGAAGAAGAAGTTGAAGAGGAAGAGCATTACGGCGGCAACGATCCCCGCGGACATTCCGCCATTAGACACGGTGCCTGCCAGGATAGCCATACACGCACACTGCCCAGCAGCGGCGAAGAGCATGAGTTTCCGGCGGCCCAGGCGATCAATGATCCAAATCGGGACCAAGGATGACAGGAAGTAAGCGACACCATTGAAGCCCGCCAGGAGAAGTGAGAGATTATGAGACATTCCGACCGAACTCTCAAAGATAACCGGTGCGTACTGGAAGACTGTTAGATCGGCCCCATATTAATGAAGATGAAGGGAAGGAGAGGTGCCCACATAGGTGATAAGGTTGATGCCAGAAATTTGCTGCATGAATTGCCCACCGACCCCAAGAAGGGTTCTGTAAAGAAATTTCTGTTCTCCATTTTCTAACATCATTCTCCAACTTCCTCTGGAGGAAGCTTCACGCTCTTCCTTGATTGCCTGCTGGATTTCCGCGAGATTGTTCGCCAATGCCGGGTCGTGGATATCAAGAGTCCGTGCATTTTTGTCAACAGCCCACAGGACATGTCGGGCTTCGTCATGACGGTCATGGGCAATAAGCCACCTCGGTGACTCAGGAACTATACACATGCCGGCAAAAGTGAGAATGGCGAACAATATTTGCAGAGCCAGCGGGAACCGAAACTGAGCATCGTTTGAGACGTAGCTCATTGCGTAGTCCACCCAGTAGGAAAGCATGACTCCGAAGATATTGATGGCCAGCTCAATGCAAAGGCCTTTGCCACGATTGCTGGCCTTCATCAACTCGGAATGCCAAACAGCTGTCGACTCTTGATTCAGAGACCATCCTTGAAGGAAAAGAAACTTTGAATTACTGGAGAGTCACTCACGAATTGTGCTCGTGTTCATCCCATTACCCAGGCCGGCGATAATCCGGCCAGTGATCATTTGAGGGATGCCGTACGCGCTGGCTTGGAGAGCCGCCCCGATGCTCAGCACGATCGACCCGATAGCGATGCACTTTCGGCGGCCGAGTCTTTCTCCAAGAAACATGCACATAATGGCGCCAAAGAAGCATCCAATTTCATAGATCGCCACCACGGTCCCCTGAAGGGACGCACTCCCAGTGCCGTCTTCAGTGGTGTCGATCTCAGGGAATACCCGAGTAAACGCGTGGCCGGTCAGAAGCCCAGACATCACCCCCTGGTCATATCCGAACAGAAGGAAGCCCGAGCCTGCTGTAGCCGTAATGGCCCAATTAAGGGGAGTCCCGATCAAGAAGGTCATGACTGGATGAAGTGAAGTAATAGAGGAAGAGTGACCGACAACCACGCCCTCGAACAGGATGTCGAGGAATGATGAAAACAGGGGGATGTTGTTGAAGAATCGTGACGGTTTATGTATCTTTCGAATCCGGTCTTTTAGGGGGTCGTAGTCTGGCGTCTGTTCCCCATGGTCCATTTCCCCATGCGGGAGACGTAATATGGGGTAAGTGGCATATCTCCACGCTAGCCAGGCGAGCAAAATCTCCGTCTGACTGCCACAGGCCTAAACTCAATTCCGCCACAAGGAAGGCGAAAATACCTCAGCGTCTAAAATTTCTGGAATAGGAAAAGCAGAAAGAATACTCTCCAGGTCCGGAAAGATAATGCTCGCGTGGAAGCGTAGATGTCATGTGATATGTTCCTGGCCTGCGCTTATGCCTTCCGTTTTGGTGCATATGGAAACTTCCACCGTCATGCAGCTGAGACGGTACGATCCAGGTTTTGGCGTCGCAAAAGAACCGACAAGCAACGGTTCAAGCTCTGGTGTATACCCGGGCTTGTCAAGCGAATATGAGCTCTCGATATTTGATAAAATCCGTTGCTCACCCATTTAGAAGACGACGGACTGCGCAGGAGATATGTTCAGCTCATTCAATTTTTGGTAGCACATAAGGGGAAAAATGGTGTCAGGTGAGCGATACTGAACTTCTCCTGGAAATCTCTTAGATAGTTGACTGCAGTCTCAGGAAAACACTTTGTCAATGATGTCACGCATCCGGTCCGTCGTGCGCTCTGCAACGTTGCCCGCGGTGCCCCAGATCTATGCATCCGTTTAGAAGAGCAAAGTATGGAATAAAAGGACATCGCTCCCAAAACCTGAAGTAGTACGGCTAATGCGTTATGACAGTCGTATACAGAAAGCTTCCGCACGGCCATGATAAGGTGATTTTGCTCAGCGGTGGTGGTTCGGGGCACGAGCCCGCCCATACTGGTTGTGTGGGAGAGGGAATGCTCGATGTTGCCGTGGCCGGCAACATCTTTGCATCTCCCTCTGCATCTCAAGTTTTGAAGGGGCTGAGGGTGTTAGAAGCCCCTCGCGGGTACGAACAATGGCGCCTGGTTCTGTTTGCAGCAACTGCTGACAACGTGGCAGAGCTTTGATGATCGTCAAAAACTACACGGGCGACAAGCTGAACTTTGGCTTGGCTGGTCAAAAGGCCAAGGCTCAAGGGCTCGAGATTGAGACTGTCTTTGTAGGTGATGACGTCTCGGTCATGGGAGGTTCTGCTGTCGGCAGAAGAGGTCTTGCAGGCGTGCTATTCGTGCACAAAATCGCTGGCGCCGCCGCAAACAGAGGGTGAGCCGAAGCCACAGAACACATTCCAATTGTTATGTTACAGTGATTTATGATCTCGAAGTGCGGATCTAGCAGCGGTGGCGAATATTGCCAGGAAAGTTACCTGTCAAATGGGTACTGCGGCGGTAAGTTTGGACAGGTGCAGCTTACTGAGGCGCGGCGCTCCCGAATCGCTGCCGCACGATGAGATCGAATTTGGAATGGGTAGGTATTGACCTAATAGTTATAACTATATGGCTAATTGAGTCTGGCTCCAGGTATACACAATGAGCCCGGCGTAAGACGAGAAAAGCTGCGTACCTTGGATGTGACGGTAAACACCGTTTTAGACACAATCCTAAAGCCACGAGCCGACACATGGATGCCGACACCAGGCCAGCCGGTGGCGGTTATGGTGAACAACCTAGGTGGTCTAAGCATCCTGGAACTAAGCGTGATAGCAGAAGAAGTACGGCGCCAGCTAGATGCGAGGGACATCGAAGTGGCGCGTAGCATGTCTGGAACGTTTGTCTCATCCCTCGATGGACCGGGATTTTCCGTCACGCTGCTGGGACTTGACGATGAGTTAATGTCTCTACTAGATGCTCCAACAGCTGCACCTGCATGGCCAAGGACAATGTCTTTCGGTTGGAAAGGCGAGTTGGAATCACAAGAACAAACAGGCGCCAGTGATAAAGAAATTATCTGTCCAATCCGTCTCGGGCCAAAGGGTACTTCCATTCGGTTCACTGTTAGAGCCATGCTGATCGAATGACTTACAGTTTCCAAGTCCAGAGTAATGGACATCATCCACAGCATCGAAAAACGGATCATTGAAGATGAGCCTTGCATAACAAAGTACGACTTGCTGGCCGGGGATGGCGATTGCGGAGAAACACTCCTCAATGGAATACAAGGTATGAACGCAAAAGGGGTAAGAGTATGTTTAGTCGCTAATGGTCTTATATAGGGTTGGTTGCAATCTCCAAATCCTTGCCCAATGAGACGGTCGATCTGTCTTCGGTCTTTCGAGAGGCCGCCTCTGTAGCTGAAAATAGCATGGGCGGAACTTCAGGTGCAATTTACGCCATCTATATCAATGCTGTAGCCAGCTCTTTGGAGAACATGGAGAAAACGATGGTTTCCCCTTCAGACACCTCCATTTCCAAGTGCATGGCAATCGCTCTCCAGGGGGGATTGGAGGAGCTCTATAAATATACCCTGGCGCGGCAGGGACACAGGACGCTGATGGACGCGTTGATTCCTTTTGTGGAAACTTTCTGCATGAGCCTGGATTTCCGGGAAGCTACCCTAGCGGCACAAAAAGGCTGTGAAGATACCAGGATGATGGAAGCCTCCCTGGGAAGAGCCAGCTACGTTGGAAGAGACCGTTTTGTGGAGAATAGTGGCATTCCCGATCCCGGGGCTTTGGGGATCGTCAGTATTCTCAAAGGCATACGGAGAGCACTTTAACGGGCAGCCAGCAGTTCCTGTTATTAGGGAGAGAATATTGCCATGGCGGAGTCCTTGATATCTTAATAGGCCAGACGCAGAGACTCTCTGCGGACTATACCGGATAAGATTACTAAAGCCATGTTGGAACTAGCATATATTAGGAAGGACCCGCGAAACATTTGAACATATATATACTTTGAAATATATTACGACTATTTCTAAGTCACCTAAACTTTAGGGTACCGAAAAAGACAGGCATAATCACCAATGCCCAGAGAGATACCTATAACAGTAGGCTATATGTGCAATGTATATGAGTATATTACTATGTTATGCTTCATGTCCAAATCTAGCCCTGTAAACCCTTGGTTGTTGAGTTATTAAGGCCTTAAAAAAGCGCCACGTTATGTGGAATACAAGGTGATCGACTCGGTGGGGAACTCTGTTACTATCTATGCATATGTCAGCTATACATTTGTCTTGAAACACCGTCTACGGCAATTCCATTTCACAATGTCCGATCATCAGGCGTAAACCATTAATTTAATCATTTGCTAGAGTTTAATACACATCAGCAACTCCACGTTCCGCGCTCTGTCCTATACACTGCTCATGCAGAGGCACAATGGCCGCCATCCACCCTCAAGTCAGCCCCCGTCATGAAAGAACTGCCTTCTGACAATAAGAAAACCGCCGGGGCTTTGAACTCATCCGGTGTCGACAATCTGCCCAGGAGCGCCCCAGCCAACCACGTCTTTTCCACCTCAGGCTCCGCTTTAAGGAGCTGGTTCGTCATATCAGTCTGGATATACTGGTATCGAGTCAGCGGCGAAATATGGGGTAAAAATAGGGATGGGTTTCGACTTACACCCGGTGATAAGGTATTAATCCGTATTCCGTACTTGCCCCATTCCTGAGCGAGAGAACGGCACAATTGCTGCACGGCCGCCTTGCTCGTGTTGTAGGCCGAACATGTGAGACCCTGTAAACAGTTAGCGGGCAACTTCTGCGTAATTATTCTGAGTGCTGGGGCGTATTGCTATGCGTACCCTGTTTGCAATTTGACCCGACATGCTTGCAATAAGGACAATACTGCCCGGCCTCTTCTTCTCGACTAGAATCCTTGCTGTTCGCTTCGCAGTGAGGAATGCCCCTGTCACATTGACCCTTAAGATCCGCTCAAAGTCCTGCCCCTCATACTCGAGGGCCGGAACTTTCTGCTGGATGCCTGCACAAGCCACGACACCGGCGAAGGGCGCGCTATGCGCGTCGGCTTCTTGCGCGATTTGCTCGAGTGCTGTCGCAAGCTCTGATTCGCTGGTGACATCGCATTGCTTATATGAGGCGGTCAGATTGGACGACATGCACAACTTGAGAAGTCTGGACCATTGGGTCTCTGAGGGGGAGGGCAAAATGTCCAGACAGGCAACGTGACCACCAGACTCTGCCACCGCAAAGGCCAGCTCCAACCCTAGGCCTCTGCCACCACCTGTGATAGCTATAGTTTTGCCCGCGAGAGAGAGGAGACTAGGCACGGTCGGTACGGAGGGAGTATGCTGCTGCTGCGTGTTGGGAACAGAAGCTGCAGCTGCAATGTCGTCGATGGCCGTAGGAGTCATCTTTTTCCCCACTCTTTTGGCACAGTAAGAAGAAAACGAAGGTAGGTTGAAAGGACAAAGCAGTCCACTATCACGCAGTACAAGAGTGACCACAGAGGAAGCGGTGATAGTTTGCGAGGTTGAACGGTAATTTCGTGAGAGGGATCAATCCATGTTTTGTAGGCCGTTGCTGGGTGTATTGGGCAGGTCGAAGCGCAATAGCAACGGTTGGTCATACGCAGTGGACATTCTAAACCATCTGGGGAACGCTGAACTCCTTCCAAGATTGCCGCAATGACCGAAGTGGACGATTGTACGCGTCCAAGGCATGTATGTTGCCACAAGGGCAAAACGTGAAGAGTAGCATGGTCTGAAATGCTGCAATGTTCGATTGTGGAAGTTCGAAGCGCCAGACCTTGGGTCGGTTTGGGTTCGATGGCGGGGTTCGGGGTTAATAGTCCATTTCCGAAATGGACAGTCCTAACCGCACCCCCGCTAATAGGAGCGGAGAAATAAACAATATGTATGGCGCCAACAAGGTACGTCACCTTCAGAACTGAATCGAAAGGTCTAAACATCAATCAAGAGGGACATTGCGGATATAAGAATGAGCTACCCGATCGGACTGCATTTCAACGCCCATCTTACAAGCAGACATATCTATTGATTTTGCTCTTGGTCACTCGGCTCCTCCCACCAGGATGACGCGACAACTTGAAGAGAGAAAGAAAATTGATCTCGCCTTGCGAACAATTCGATGTCTGATTTTAGACCTGTGCCAACAGTACAAGGGTGGACACCCAGGGTGAGTGAACGATGTCCCGCAAACCATGATGGCCAGCCGGAGAACCTAACAATCTTCCTCGCCAGTGGCGCCATGGGAATGACTGCGATTGGCATTGCGTTGTGGAAGTATTGCATGAGATACGCGCCGGCGAACCCCGACTTCTTCAACCGGGATCGCTTTGTGCTCTCCAACGGCCACACTTGTCTCTTCCAGTACACATTCCTGCATCTCACGGGCTATAAGGCCATGACGATGGACCAGTTAAAATCGTACCACTCCGAGCGGACAGATTCACTGTGCCCAGGCCACCCGGAGATTGAAATTGACGGGGTTGAAGTGACCACAGGTCCCCTGGGCCAAGGTGTCGCAAATGCGGTGGGCCTGGCCATGGCAACGAAGCATCTCGGTGCTGTATATAACAAACCCGGATTCTCACTTGTGGACAATACGACATGGTGCATGATCGGTGACGCCTGCCTGCAAGAAGGCGTTGCATTGGAGTCAATTCAGCTCGCTGGGCACTGGAGACTCAACAATTTGGTCATCATCTACGATAACAACCAGGTAGCGTTTGCTCAGAAGTTCAGAACTGGCTGTACTGATACTGACAAGATTTCGTGACAGGTGACGTGTGATGGCAGTGTGGACATCTGCAACTCCGAGGACATCAACGCCAAAATGAGAGCATGTGGCTGGGATGTTATCGACGTTGAAGATGGCTGTTATGATGTAGAAGGGATAACAGCTGCCCTCATGCGTGCCCGGTCCAGCAAAGAGAAACCGACTTTTATCAACGTACGCACCGTGATTGGCGTCGGGAGCAAATTCGCCGGCGACGCCAGGGCCCACGGTGCCGCCTTCGGCGAGGATGAGGTCGCCAACATCAAGAGAACGTTGGGATTGAACCCAGATGAGCATTTCGCCGTGGCCGATGAAGTATATCAGTTTTTCAGCGACGCTGGAGAAAGAGGCCGAGCCCTGGAGGAGAGCTGGAACCAGCTCCTGGTCGATTACTCGACGGCGTATCCGGAGATGTACGAGGAGTTCAGGTTGAGAATACAAGGAAAAATGACAGAGGACTGGACAGCGCTCATCCCGTCAAAGGAAGAATTCCCCGCATCTCCAACACCCTCCAGAAAGTCTGCCGGTCTCTGTTGCAATCCCCTGGCGTCAAAGCTCCGGAACATCATGGTCGGCACTGCCGACCTGACCCCTTCGGTGAACATGGCATGGAAGGGCAAGGTCGATTTCCAGCATGTATGCCGCGGCCCTGTCCCCAGGTATATGTACCATTTTTGCTAATCAAAACTGCTTTGTTTCAGCCGGAACTCAAGACAGCTTGTGGTCTAAACGGCGACTACTCTGGGCGGTATATCCATTGGGGTATCCGAGAACATGCCATGGCTTCAATCTCAAACGGACTAGCAGCCTTCAACAAAGGAACCATCCTGCCCATAACCTCCAGTTTCTTTATGTTCTACATTGTAAGCGGAATCATTAAGCCACGTCCCTCGTTTAGCCCAAGCAGTGGTTGCTGACACTGAGCAAGTATGCGGCCCCAGGCATTCGAATGGGCGCACTCCAGGGCCTTCAGCAGATCCATATCGCAACTCACGACTCGATTGGCACCGGTGAGGATGGACCAACACACCAGCCCATTGCATTGGCAGCGCTGTACCGTGCAATGCCAAATATTCTCTACATACGGCCTTGTGATAGTGAGGAGACGGCTGGTGCTTTTGTCGCAGCATTGCAGGCAACATCCACCCCGACGATCATCTCGCTGTCCCGGCAGAACCTGGAGCAATACCCAGAATTCTCCTCCCGAAAAGGGGTCCAGAGGGGTGCATATGTTTTCATCGAAGATGAACAGGCTCAAGTTACGTTGATTGGTGTGGGTGCTGAGATGGTCTTTGCAGTACGCACGCGACAGCTGCTGCTGGACCGTTTCAGCATCAAGTCTCGCATTGTAAGTTTCCCATGTCAGCGTCTTTTTGCACAGCAGAGCCAAGAATACAGGAGGGAGGTCTTGAAATATCGGTCAGGAATCCCCCGTGTTGTTATTGAGGCATACGCGGTGAACGGGTGGGAGAGATACGCCGATGCGGGCTTCACAATGAGCACATTTGGACATTCCCTACCTGGTGCTGCGGCATATAAATACTTTGGATTCGATGAGCATGTGATTGCACCAGAGGTGGCAAAGCTCGTGGACGAGGTTCAGCGCGACGGGATTGAAAGCTTGCGAGATGAATTCAGGGACTTGAACCCGGTGCGCCATTAATTAACAATCACGGATGTAACATATAAGGCAATTTGCACTCTATAGTCAATTCAATTCCAAAAGCTTATTGTGCTTCGTTTTAACCCCCTAGGACATCTGCTCGTTCATCAAGGGATGGCACTAAGGAGGCAGAAAAGTACCTCGATGGACTCTGTAAGCCTTGCACAAGGACACATCGGAGCGTACGGTGGATAGCTTAAATCGGATGTAACACTAAATGTCCGGCTACACTTCGACAGTTACACCGGATGGCAAAGGACATTATTGCGACAAATCTCCCCAAAACTCTTGAAGATCGATCGCCCGCCACTTGGTAGGCCAGCCACTCTCTTGTTCGATTCTTTCAAGTAATCCCAGAATTGCCTGATGCTCGCTCGGGTGGCTCATCCATTGGCCGGCAATCCACAGCGGTTGGATCGAGTTGGTCCACGCACCGTGATGGTCATTGCTCATGGAGATGCCACAGATCTGGCGGGCATGCCACAGGATCGACCGTGGCTTCGGGTCTAGTCGTATATTGGCCGGCTTGGACTGCAACAGTAATATTGCCGCGGTGTGATAGAGCTGATTTCCGGATATTGCCGCTGCATTGCTGAAAAGAATCGTGGGGAATGGATCCGTAGAGGGAAAGTTGACGATCGGTTTCATCTCTTTTGGCCGTTTGACCTGCCAGTCTTCCATGTAACGCCACAGCTTCAACCATCGTTCCACGTAGGCTATGTCGCAGGGGCCGCACCGGGCACTCGCCCCTCGTCCTAGCAAGTGGGATGGCGCCAGGAGATCCAAGGTCTGCGCACACAGGTAGACGGCTTGGTTTGCGCAGGCTTCAAATGCGGACATGGACTGAAAGAGTCCGATGTCTGTATTGAGGTCAATCCTGGAAGCCCAATGGTCGACCGGGATCAGTGTCTTGATGGAGGAAATCAAGCCGCCGCATACATCCATCCGGGCGAAGCACCAAAAGAGTGCCTGCTCAACACCTCCGACGAAGCCATTGATACCCACTGCTTGCATCAAGTGCGCGCATCCGTCGAGATGCCGTCGCCAGGCCTTCGGGGCACAGCTGAGCATCTCCAGCACACAAAGGACCACGCAGGACCCGATCACAGCGGTGGATCTCGTTGGAAGCTGTGGGAGGAGAAGCTGGATCGCTTTATGGTAGAGCATTAAACTGCGCTCAATGGGCAATGTCTTGTCTTTCTGCTCTTGCTGGCGGGCAGATACGGCTAACATGGCGTACCGGAGGTGGTCGTGGGATTGTGCCACCACGGGAAGAGTATATTGAAAATGGCGTTGACTGTCAAACTTGTCCAGCCATGGGGCGATCTCTTCCAGCCAGTTCTTCCACAAAATATACTCCACATCCTTGGGCAGATCCACGGGAATTTGATCGTTGGAGATCTGGCTAAAATCTTCGTAATCTCTGAGCGGTAGAACCGGGACCGTAGTGAAACCGTCGCGCCCGAGAGTCGTTCGAGCTGGACCCGGGCCGTCCGTAGAGCTTCGCCGAGAAGGATAACGGGATCGCGCTTCCTGCATGAGATGGTTTCTCAAGGTGGAGTGCAGTTCGAGATAGTCGGAACCCGGCTGGAAGACGCCATCCTCGCGACTCATATCGGTGGAATCCCAGCACTCAGGAAACCGTTGCAGCAGAGGGGAGGTGTTCGCATCTAGGTCTGGACCAGGAGCGAGCACGGCAGGCGATTTGAGCAGTATTTGCTGTAGCCACGAGTTGCTATCCACTAAATCCCCAGCAGCGCTGGGCTGACCCAGCTCTGTTCGACCCTCGGGGTCCGTTAGTCTCGTGTTTGGCATGTCCCCTGACTGGTTCGGAGACGAATCCCTGGAATGCTCGCGACCATCCGAAAGGTCTTCTGAAACACGCTCAGAATCATCGGAGTTAGGAGGCTGCGAGGCGCTGGTGCTGAATATGGGTAGGTCACACCCGGCCTCTTCTTCACGCCGTCCTGGGTCCCGCATATGGTGCGGAGGAGTGGCAGATCCCTGATCGAGTAGAGGATGCTGAATTTCACCGACGGGAGAAGACTGATGATAGTCGCGTATCACCTCAGAGGTAACGTCCATAATCTTGAAGGATTTGTGCGTCCGATCATTCGACTGTCGTGAATTGTGCACCAGCATCTGCGTGTTCGCTTCCCGGAAAGTGACTCGCATCCCCCACTGGCAGGTCTCCCTTCTCTTCCGGCATCTGAGGCACGTTGGTTTTCCCTCATCGCACTTTCTCCGCTTCCTCCGGCAATTCAGGCATCCTGATCTCGTCCTTCTCCACCTCCGGGCCTCTCTTTCTCCTGTCCGATCCGATACTGAATTTGTCTCACCTTCTGCTCGGCTGGGAAGGTCCGCTTGCATGGTTGCCGCCCGTCAAGGTCTCCTCGCAGATGACGAACAGTGATGTAAGTTAGTCTGGAAAATCTTTAAATCTTGTGCAGAAACGCAAAAATGTGTTACCGAACCACTAGGCATTACAGACAGGGAGTTGTTGGACAAGACATGGCTTTGACAGACAGATATTCATTCCTTGGGTCTTGGGGAAATGTCTCGTATACTCACATGACCAGTGATTACTTATATAGTCACGTGATTGTCATCGGATATTGGGAGTTTGGCTGGACCTTGTCAAAGCCCGCCCAAGCCAGTTATTTATTATTATTATTATTATGTTCCTCAGACTTTTCGCTGCCGTCGGCCACATGTAGCCCCCTAGCAAGTATGGACTGATCGGTCTGTTAGTGGGAAGTATTGTATAGCCATGAACCCAATCATGTCAGCCAGCCACAAAAGTATAAGCAAGCTCTGATTATCTCTACTTAAAAGCTTACCTGGCTATTCTCTATTCGTACCCAGCCCTATTGCAGCTAGGTCAAATTCAAGTTCTTTATACAGAGTCGCCGGCGAACCATCTTTCTGAGTCTGGACCACGATGGGCCTCAGTATAACGGGTATTCCAAATCGCAAAGACTAAATCGCAAAAACTAATTGTTAGTGTATGTCAAGACACATGAATTGAGTTTCTTTTCTAGTGACTATGCTGTGTGGTTCTGCTGACGCTTTACACTCCATATGCGAGGAAAAGCTATGGTACGAACATTGCCGGACCAGGAGACGAGTAACGCCCGATAACGATTCTATGACAGGCATAGTCAATGAATGAACCACCACAGAAGAAAAGTGTAATAGTTTATGGTTGTTATGGAGTACGCAAGTACCAGCAGGTGTCGGTAGAGACAAAGGTATAAATTGGTGTCCCTCACCCTCTGCTATAAAAAGGTTCCATCAATCAAGTCCTCATCAAAATCTTATCCGCCTCTGAACCTGATACACCAAAAATATTCATCCAAACAACAATGAAGATCCAAACAATTGTCTCTTGATTGCACTCTGCGGAGTTGTTTCTGCCCGGGCACATTACAGACTCTCTGATGATCCTGTCTGCAAGCGTTCACCTAACGAATGCTCAGGAGGCACCGAACCTACCTATGACCCGGACTATGTAAGTGATTCCAATCCACAATTACTTGTCCAGGCCTCTGACATATATATAGTGCATGGGCCGCGGTGTAAGTTGAATACCGTAGATAACATTGTGCTGTCTAATCTCCTCTCAAAACAGTATCGGCCGCCTAATTTTTGGGCATGTTTCCCTTCCGATGAGTACTACTAGGCTGGAGAAAACGTACTAAGGATGATATACCAAGTTAATTGGACATGAGCCTCGGTGTTTTATCCATCAGCTTGTTGATTAACGTCTTTTCGCCTCAGCCTTGGTATAGGTTTTTCTTCCCTAATTCTGTTGGGTTTTTCCTATACTGTTATGTGAATGCAAAGGCTTTGTCAAATTTAAAATGTTCTATTACTTTTCACTAGTCTCTAATCAAAAAGTCCTTTCCTTCGCTGCCTGAGGGTTAGCTCATAGCGTGACACTCTGTCTTTGGCAACAAAGGGGATGGATCAATAATTCCATTCCTAGGGTATGGGTCTCAGAATAAACAGCATTTATCCCCATTTCATGCTACTAATTTCTTGCTAACAGATCCCTATATAGGAAGTAACAAGCAAAAAAGAGTCTACCTAACCCAAGGAATAGCAGCATATTTCTGAGAAATCTAAAGGTCCTGTACCCGGATTGGTAATTTAACTCATTAGGCAGACCAGATCTATGGGAAAAGGGTTGTGGATTCGTAAAACTATTAGATACCGCACTCAAGGGTGCCCGTATCACGCTCCCCGAACGACACTTGCAGCCCCAGTTTGGTATGGCAGACTAGACTGGCTGACCCAATCCGCAAATCCATATCCAACCCGCCCAACCCGCACTTTGGGTTGGATATAGAGTTGCATTTGGTGTGGGTTCAGGCGGGTTCAAGCCTAGTTGGCCCCGAACCACTGTGGTTTCAGGTTCAAATTTTAGAACGCACAACCAAACTGGACCTGATCTGGTTTAGTTACAGTTTTCACCGCAAAACTCACCACTAGGCCTAGGTAGGCCTAGCTGGGCTGATCATAACTAACCATAGTTAGATTTGGTTTGGTTTTGGGTTGGTTAAACCATGAATTTTAACTATTTTAACCGTACTATTCCCCCTCTGGGGGGCCTTTAATAGGGCCTACTAAGCATGCCTATATAGAATCATTAATTTTATATGAAATATATGGTATTTATAACCATTCTGATCTATATTAGAAATAACAATTTGATATATAGAGGGTTGAACGGGTAGTGGTTAAAAATCATTCTTTAACTATAGTATTATCAGAGGTTGATATATAAACCACCACCACTTTCATACCAACCTATAACAGAGATGATTATTCCCTTATATCTCAACAACCACTAGGTATTTTCTAATAATTTTAATATTATTAGATAGCTTGGATTAGGGGCTATCTAATAATATTAAGATTACTAGAATATCTATAGAATTCTGTAATTTCTAGGTAAAACAGTGCGGGTTGGTTAAATAGGTTATTTAAAACTGCAAAAACTATAACTGGCAGTTTCAACTGAGCCTGAAATAGTTCTAGGGTAGAGAAACCAAACCTAAAATAGTTCCCTAGACTTACCCCCGAAACCGCACCACTGCGAGTTCAGTGAGGGTTGGTTGCGGTTTTTGCGGTTCGGTTACGCAACTCTAATATAGATTAGAAGAGGCTATAAAACCACCTCTAGCTGCAGGGACGCAGTGTATAAAGAGAGGGGATAGTTATTAGGTGTAGTAAACCTATATATAGATAAACTATAGTAGTTATATGAGTAGCATATGACCCATAGAGATATTATTAACTACTAAGCTGTGAGATGCTTATACCTTAGCGATTAGTTCAACTATAAAGGCATTGCTACTATCATGCTATCTACTATTTGATAGAGAGCATTTCATAGGTGCTCTCACAAATATATATTTTTAGTTTGTGTTGCTGAGAATCTAGTATAAGGATATTTTGATAAAAGGAAGCAAAAAGGTGCTGCTCAATTAGATGCTTATAACGGGGTTTTACTGTAGTAGAATATGTGCCATAGAGGTGGGGGGTCAACGGACTAGGGACTAAGATACATGTAACTTTCAGACACAAAAAACAGACCTAGGTTGCTTGAATATCCATTATATAGAGCTCCATCTTCAGCATAATATCTTCCTTGTGCCTTTTCCCCCGGCACGTCCATTCAGAGGAACCTGCTGCAACTCGCGATCGGCAATAGCACCAGCCAGGTCTACAGCCTTACGATCCTCCTCTCGGACCCGAACCCAGGAAAGGTAAGTACAAAATAGGTGTTGAGGTACGACGAAAAGGGCTCCATCATTAGTAGACAAGACCCGTGTCTCTCATTGACGCAGTGAGATTGCTATACATCCAGTGATCGTCAACATTGCCGCGGCGGGTTTACATCATCAGCCGATCGGCCAACACTCCATGCATTTTCGGGCGGTTCCAATGCCCTTGAACAGAGGCCTGCCCATCGCCACTGTAGTAGCAATGATGGTTGGGGTTTACTAATGATAGGGGTTATGTCCAACAAGCTTTTGCAACATTGATTTTTCAAACTTTATCCAAACGTTATGTGAACTCATCATCGATGGCCAAAAAAGCATATTAAATGCATAGGAATGAAGGAAAAGCATTAGTCAACCAGTATGAACTTCAAAGTTAAGCCGGCTGGGATTATTTCTATAGTGTAAGAAACACTAATCTGGCCCTTAGTAATCTGGTGATAATAGCAGGGGCATGCTCTAGACTATACTAAAACAGTTAATCCTATATATCAAAAATCCGCTTAAAGATATGTCTATGAATCTATTATTTTACTGCTCAAACTGTTAACGGACAGGGAGACGCTATCCTTATGAAACTTACAAAATTGATGTATTTGACTCTGAGCCTAGTTTATTCCTTAATGAAATTATAAAGCTGCAGATTAAGAGAAGCATAGTAACAAAGCAATCCAAGTCTTTCTATCTTATAATATCCCTGAGATCATTATCCACTTTCGAAAAGAGCTGCATCTTTAGAAAATGAAGACATTGCAGGCTTTTACCCTTATTTCAGCTATACTTGGGTTTATAAGTTATGCTAAGCCATGCCACATAAATTATCTTTACTATAGTTATAATCTTCTTAATAACTAATATAAGTTTAATAAATTCTAGCTAGAAGATCTGAAATAATAATCTATTGGGGCTATAGCTTAGTCAAGTAGCTCTAGGGTTAACTGCATAGAATAAACTTACCTCCTACTAGCTAGCTTCCACTCAGATTATAGTTTATAGGCCTTGTGTAGACTGGTGGAAACTAGGGTTCAAGGAACACTTCCGCGGACATATCTTTCTAGCCGTCCAGTCATGCTACTGGTAGTATGCACTCAGCAATCCCTGCGGGGATGGGAGTCCCTACGACATGTTCCATGGCTCTCGGATGGGTCTGATCAGGCTGTTTCTTCCCAGAAACATGATATAAGAATCGCAGGGACTAAGACTGCTCCAGCAAGCGCTGTGGGTGTTGTCAGGAAAGCAGGGCTGCAGCTCTGCTAAGCCCGGGCTTGGGAAGAGACCGTGAATGTGCAAAAACAAGCCGTGATGAACAGGTATAATGAAGGGGGCAGGGTGGATATGGTATCTTGTGTTGTGGCCAAGCAACAGATCAGCCGGAAGGACTGCGTGACTGGGACGCCAGCGCGCGGGCGTGGCTCTGCGCCGCCGATAAAATCAAGGCAGGCCATCAGAATCGGTTTCTGTTGGCCATTGACAGATTGGATATGAGAGTGGCTGGCCGCTCCCACGCGTACAACAGCGTCATCGAGGCCTGGAAGGAGACCCCGGAGGGGTTGGAATTACTGGTCAATGACTCGTCTCAGGAACTGCGCAGTGTGAATCTACTGCTGGGCCTGCCTGCCTTGCATCTCTACCCGGACCTGAATGTCCTCGCAATGAGAGACCCACATGTTCTCTAACCTGAATGTTAATAGCCAAGGGAGTATTAACAAGTCCACTTTAACACAGCCAAAATCACAGTGAGAATCCTTATAGCTGATTATCAGCTTTCAAAGCGCTGACAACTCTGGGATAACTATTAGGTTTATAGAGACTTAGAAAACCTCAAGATCTTCCAGAAACTGAAATAGGTAAAACAAGCCCACATCAGGGAAGAAGCTCAGGCTCCTAGGAAACATACTACTAGGATCACAGTGTTCATCCAGTTTCAATATCCCATTACCATTATAGGTTGAGTATTAGTTGCACTCAATTCTAAGGGAGGTTAAATGAATACAATAGTAGGTAGTAATGTGGTGGTCATAGGGGAGTAGGAGGCAATCTTACATACACACACTATTTTAATTTAGGTATTCTACACAGTAGACTGAATACCTCTTATGGCCTATGTTACAAACAGTGAAGGATGTGCATACTTCTGATATGCATTATTAATAGCCCTAGGACTTTAAATGTTCATGCCGCCAGCAGTTGTTTATAATTCAGGACTGTGGGTAGAATAGGATGGAACCATATCTCTATGTGCTTAAAGAGAGGTCCCAGCACATGAGCTTAAATTATAATTAAAGTAGTGTAGAGTGTCTACAGATCCTCCCATAGGAGCTATATTTTCAGTTCTAACACAGTGGAATTTGGAGGGTTTGAAGGATTTATATATATATTCAAGAGTTGCTAAGAGCAACTCTGAAGGAAGATTTAGCAGCATCTCATGTATAAGATGCAAAGATATAGCTATTTAGGAGAGCTCCAAAAAGTCTTAGGTACCTGAGGGCAGGTTCTGGCCTAGAGGGGCATCAACATCATGTCAGAGGTTTCTGATACCCAAGGGGAATTAGTCAAAGGAATGGCATATTATTTGCTACCGCAGGGTTAATAATCATATATTTAATGTTACAGTTAGTTAACCACAAACATGTAGTTGAAACCCACTTCCATCTTAGCATGGTTTACCTTTTCTTTGTTTCTTGGGAGGTGACAATAGGAGTAGATCAAACAATCTATCAATCCATTGATTAAGCTGCATCTCGCGAAAAGGATTCGTTTAAAGAATACTGGGCGGAATACAGATGCGTTAGAGTAAGGTTAAACCAATGGGAAATGTGCTTTCCATTGCCTAGTCCTTCCTCGACACAAAGTTGTAACATTTTCTGCCATGGCTAATGAAGACCGTTACAGCTTTACCTTCATAGTGACTTAACCTTCCTTAGATTAGTGCCCACTCTCTTATGTATAGTGTTATCATCATCTAACCACCTCAACTTGGACTGAGTGTAATTTGACAAGGACATTTCCATGGAGAATAGCAGGTGTTTTAATGGCAACCTCTGCTCTTTTAGAGACAGGCTTAGTAGCTTCATCACCTCTAGTGGCGGGAGCTTCAACATTCTTACCTATCATTAATATTAATTCATGTTGTTAATCACAAGTTCCTGTAACAAATTAATATTTGTCACCTGCACAGAGATGTTCAAGGTTCAACCGTAATGCTGCCATTTTCGCACAAGCGCAGACCTACTAGAATTTCCAAGACCTAACTAAGAATTTCGTCGGTATCAGTCAGCCACTGCTAGAGCCTCAAGTTCACAGCCCACAACCTGTCAATACAACTAGCTAAGCACCGCTAGCCCAGAAAGGCAAGGAGCAATTTGGGAGGCTTGCACTGCATAGCGCCTGATCCCAAGTGGGGCAAACAGTTGATTGTAGTTGATCACAGTGGACAGCGCCTTGGCCCGAGTGGGTCCGAGAGTTGATCGTAGTTATCACCAGTTGACCATAGTTCACACTAGTTCTATTTTCAGTTGGCTAGCTGCACCGGAAAAGAATGGAGGAGGCTTGTTTAGTGCCTTAAGATAAGTGGGCCGAAAAGTTGATTGCAGTTGGCCCAGTTACAGTAAAACCTCGTTATAACGAGTCTCGCTATAACGAGAACCTCGTTATAACAAGATAAATCTCTTGCTTCAATTAATTTTCCATATAAATAACGAGATCCCTTGCTACAGCAAGTCTTGTTAACTTTGCCTTCTCTCCCATACAAAATCTTGTTATATCAAGGGTTCTTATTAGCTAATATGCCTTAGAGAAAGCCTATCTTAACGTCTCAGAAGGCTGCTTTATGAGCCTAAAAACACCTCTATCTAAACGCAACATAGAAAGAGCTTCGCAAATGGTTTCAGGACACCTATAATCATACTCTTTTATCTGGTCTTATCTCTGATATCTTATCCCGCAAATATGAATATCTTGATGCTGATTCCCTCCCTTCCCGCGATGCAAAGCGCTAACGCTGTGAGAACTGGCCAGAGCTAGAGAACGCCTTATTTAAGTGGATGATACATGTGGAGGAATAAATACCTATCTCTATAGAGATTATTTGATAAAAGGCTTAGTCTTTTTGGGAGAAGATCTATCCAGGGAAAGAGATGCTAGTATTTAGTAATGAATGGCTTTATAACTTCTAGATAAGGAGGTTAGTAAGATAGTATTAATAACATAGAGAGGAGGGAAGTATTCCAGCTTAGGCAGACTAAGAGATGCTTAAGATTAAATAAGTCTTAAGTGCGTATAGCCTTAAGGACTAGTTTAATTATGATGAGACTAGCCTCTTCTGGAAGTGCTCTCCTGCACAGAGTCTTTTAACATGTTAGCTTCCAGGTTGAAAGAAAGATAAAGCACACATAATGGCCCTCTTTTATTGCAATACAGATAGCTCTGAGAAGCTATTACCATGGTTTATTAGTATAGTAAAGAATCCATGAGCTTTCCAAGCCGCTGGTGTTAATATATAGAATCTGAATCTTATCTAGTGGAGTAACTAGAAAGCCTAGATTATAATATTAATATTTACAGAGTTTCTTTATTAGTTTGATAAGTAGATGAGTGGACAGAATGTTGTCCTTCTTATAGATAACTTCTCTACTTATCAAGCTACTGTGACAGAGATTTAATCTAGTGGCTATCCACTATAGAATACTCTTATTATATGGCTTCCTGCAAACTCTACCAGCTAATATCAGCCTCTTGATCAAGGGATTATCTACTATTGGAAGTCATACTGGAAAAGATACTGGATTTGCTTTATCCTTTAAGAGTTTGAGCTTAATCATGATCCAATCATGTCAATGAACATCCTAAGAGTGGTTTGATGGGGAATCCAGAGCTGGGAATTTAATCTTTCTGGACAGGTAATCCAGAATTGCTTTTAAAAGGCTCTAGATTCTTAACCATCATATTGAGAGCCTGTTGATCCAGCAGTTCTGGATGATATATAGAATGCATTCTCTCTCTTAAAGCTCTCTACGCCTATCCAGGATCTCATGGATATTGATACCTTTCTGAACCCTATAGAGGAAGCTATCCAAGATACTCCTGAAGATATTGAGAGCCAGATTCTAGCTCAGTATGGGCTGGAGCTTGATGATAATTCTGAGGAGGAGCTTGAAGTTCTACTGTAAATACCACTGGATGAGGCTTTAGAAGCACTAAGAATACTTTGTTTATATGAAGAGCAGCAGGCAGAGGGTATCCCAAGCCTTATATATGAGCTAGATAAGCATGAGCGTATCCTTTGGGGTCGAAAGCTAAGCCTACAGACGCAGCGGGACATTTGAAGCTATTTTACAGGCTAAATATATACTAATATATACTATCCTTGATATAACGAGAACCTCGATATAACGAGAAATATGGTCTGTCTGGAATATCTCATTATAACGAGGTTTTACTGTAAATACCGATTTGTGCACCATTCTCGGTGGGGTGTTCTATTGAGCGAAACCACCATCACTCAATGATCAGAAAATCCTGACGGTTATTACAGTCGGATCTTTGAAGCCATAAAACGGACCGCACCATCTTTTATCCCTGCAATGCATTTGACAGATTGGCCACCTATCTCAGATCTCCTTCAGCATTTAATCACTTTTACATTAACGGTAAGGTGATGTAGTGAGAGCCATGTTGAATTGATTTGTTCCATTTACATCAGGGCAAATTTAGAGCGTCGCCTTACAGTCCTGTGATTTTCCAATTTCCCCACACCTTGCGATAGGGAGAGGTGTGATACATTATGGATAATGATTATTGAATTATATGACCGCTTGCCGATTGGGAAGTGATTCGATTTCTCTGTGCCGCTTCTTGGCGATAATATTTCGGCAAATATTCGTCATTTGATCAGTCAAATCCCGGCCTCTAATGGAAGGGATAAATAGGAGCTAGATAGTCATTCGTTTAGAAGAATCAGACCTTCATTCATTTTCGATTGGCCATAGAAATTGCTAGCGATTCGTAAGTCGATACAGTATTATTATTTTCAACAATGATCATTCATTGTGGTGGCAATGTGATGCTGGGTATTGGAAGCAAACCAAATCTTGCCCTTCTAATCAATCTTTCAACGATTTATCACCTATTCCCTGTCAAGTAAGGAAAACAAAAAAGTGGCAAGGTTCCGTCACCCATAGACTTAAATTCAGAACGCACCCGTCACCTGTGATGCATCCACGATGCATGGAAACGGTGGACGGTTATGTATCTTACTTCCCAGGTAGTGTCAGATAGACCGATACTCTGGTCAATTATGTATAGGAAATTTTAAGACGGCTCCATATTGAGACCTACGGCGTTGACTGTTTTCCTAGGATATTTGAATATCCCAAGGGGTCTATTCCCACTTCGCATCAGCTGAGCCACATTTTCAGTACAAGCTTAATTACAGAGAGCTGCGCGTTGTCCCTGTCAGTTAGAGCCACGAGTTTGCAATCGATCTAATGGCGCTAATGCTACTCACCATCTCATATAGGTATATCTATTTTATGGTGAACTACTACTTTCTGGATTGCTCCAACAACTCGTAAAAAGAGAACGGGGGGCGAAATATGCTTGATTTCATCGGATTAGGTAGGGGAAGGTAATAATAAAGAGATACTATATAGACTGTATTTTGATTGCTAATAGACCAGACTAAGGGCAAAGAGGGAGGAATGAATTATATAAATATCTATTTAGCAGGGTTTTTAGGCTTCCAATGTTTTGAAAAATATAAGTATGGATATGAGACCCTAGACTGATGGGAACCATGTCCGGACACCTTTTTAGCCTAGTGGTCTTAAATTTTCAATACAATGCTTGTCGCGTACAAAGATCTCCGTGGATAAGCCCTTTCCAAGGTAGCAGCGGGCAGTTTCTAGGAAAGATAAGGCGGTGGTGAGATCGCTGAGTTTATGGTATCTATAGGTACGAGGGTCAAAGTCGGGGTATTTCTTGGTGAGTAGTGGGCCAACCTTAGAGAGCCTAGCCCAGCCATCATCATCAGAGGCTGCTTCTACTATTGTCCACAGTAGACTTGCTAAATCGCTATTAATTTGAGTCTGCAAGGCAGGTGGATGGTTTTATCCTGCGTTGACACTGTTAGCATGCGGCACAAGCTTGTCGATATGCATGAGGTTTTCAGTGTAAATAAATTCATCGCAGGCAGCGATAAAGGGTCTGGGCGTCTTATGCTCCCTAAATCTGTACACAGTTAGTCCTGACTCGCGGATTCGAGCAGCCAGCCGGGTGAAGTCATTATTGCTTGAGACAAGGCAAAACCCATCATACCAGCTAGAGTACAGGAGATCCATCGCGTCTATGATCATAGCTGAGCCGGTCGCATTCTTGCCGTGCGTATACGCGAACTGCTGGATTGGTTGGATCAATTGCTCAAGGAGCTCGCCCTTCCAGCCTGTAGATGAGGTTTAGTCCAGTCCCCATATGCCCGCTTCGCGTGAGGTGTGCCATATTTCGCGATTTCGGTAACTGACTGACGACGGAGGACCGCGCATTTTCCGCGCTGGAACCCGCTACGAGTTCACTCTGCCGCCATACACCGCTTTCCTCTATTTGTTGATGCCCGACTTTCTGCTGCTCAGCTATTCCTTCTTGTTCATACGGCACGCTTAGGTAGGAAGATCCACCTCTGTTCGTCCCATAACAGAAGCGGTGGCCAACTGCCTATAATACGTCATTGGGATGTTTAGAGTTAGCGAATATCCTAAGGGTATGGCCCTGTAACCAAATAAATTAGTAATATGTTGTAATCTAGCCACACCGACTATTTTGATAAACTAGGGATATGGCATGCCATACTCTTTTTTGGTTTGTCTTAGAAAAGATTCGTCAAAGCGAAAGTATTAACTATACATTGCCTTACTGCGTACTCTGCTCAGCTCTGGTGGTTTCCTGGCCGTTACCATAGACTGGGCCCTAAAGTAGGGCACAGACAGCCGGCTACCAAAGCCTCCCAAAGGGAAGGCACAAGAGGAGAGAATATGTATCCTGTTAGGGATTGATTATATAATGAATAGAGGTAGGAAAAGGGTAAGAGAGAACATGCCTAAGCAAGGTATAGACGGCGGTGGAATGTCCAAAAAGTGGGCAGGGGAGGATGAACAAGGAAGTCTAATTCCTATCCATGCAGTGCGTCCTTGATTCTACTCCTATCATGCAGATTTTGTGCTGCGAGCTGGATTTTCACACAAAGACGTGGATGCTCGTTCAGGACTATACCATAAATGTAGCATTCTCTATCCCTTGCTTTCCTTATTTGTAGTATTCATGTGACCGGTTTAACGCCCTTGCTATATATATGGTAGTCCTCCATCAGTATTGGAATTACACTTCCTTGACCATAGTCTTCAGTTGCCTGTTTGCAAAACTTATCTTTTAGGATTACTCTTACCTTTAGGACGAGAAGCAAGCCCTTAACAAGATGAAGTTCATCGCTATCCTCTCCGCAGTTGTCTTTGCTGCCTTTGCGGTAGCAGGACCAACGCAGACCAATAGTCAAGATGAGAGCAGAGTCGAAAAAAGACAAGTATGTGGCTGACCCCCTCTCTTTGAGAGATAACTTCAGGATATATAGGCTGACAGAGATGGAATGTGGACAGGATGTAAGTGGCTAAACCCCACCATTTGAGAGATAACTCGAGAATTTTAGGCTGACAGAGATGGGATGTGTGGACAGTGTGTATGTGCCTGGCCCCCACCATTGGAGACATAACTTGAGAATATATAGGTTGACAGAGATGGGATGTGGACAGCCTGTATGTGACTGACCCCACTATTTGAGAGATAACTTGAGAATTTAGGCTGATAGAGATGGGATGTGGACAGCCTGTATGTGACTGACACCCTCCCTTTGAGAGATTACTTGAGAATTATAGGCTGACAGAGATGGGATGTGGATAGAATGTATGTGACTGACTCCCCTCCCTTGAGATGACTTCAGAAAATATATAGGCTGATAGAGATGGAATGTGGACAGGATGTATGTGGCTGAACCCCACCATTTAAGAGATAACTTGAGAATTTTAGGCTGATAGAGATGGGATGTGGACAGCCTGTATGTGACTGACTCCCCTCCTTTGAGATGACTTCAGAATATATAGGCTGACAGAGATGGAATGTGGAAAGTTTGTATGTGACTGACCCCCACCATTTGAGAGATAACTTGAGAATATTTAGGCTGACAGAGACGGGATGTGGACAGTCTGTATGTGACTGACCCCCACTTTTTGAGAGATAACTTGAGAATTTTAGGCTGACAGAGATGGGATGTGGACAGCTTGTATGTGACTGACCCCTCCTTTGAGAGATGACTTCGGGATATATAGGCTGACAGAGATGGAATGTGGACAGGATGTATGTGGCTGACCCCCACCATTTAAGAGATAACTTGAGAATTTTAGGCTGACAGAGATGGGATGTGGAAAGTATGTATGTGACTAACCCCTCTCTTTGAGAGATAACTTGAGAATTATAGGCTGACAGAGATGGGATGTGGATAGTGTGTATGTGACTGACTCCCCTGCCTTGAGATGACTTCAGAATATATAGGCTGACAGAGATGGAATGTGGACAGCTTGTATGTGATTGACCCCTCCTTTAAGAGATGACTTTAGGATATATAGGCTGATAGAGATGGAATATGGATAGAATGTATGTGACTGACTCCCCTGCCTTAAGATGACTTCAGAATATATAGGCTGACAGAGATGGGATGTGGACAGCTTGTATGTGACTGACCCCACCATTGGAGACATAACTTGAGAATATATAGGTTGACAGAGATGGGATGTGGATAGCCTGTATGTGACTGACCCCTACTTTTTGAGAGATAGCTTGAGAATTTTAGGCTGACAGAGATGGGATGTGGACAGTCTGTATGTGACTAACCCCCACTTTTTGAGAGATAACTCGAGAATTTTAGGCTGAACAGAGATGGGATGTGGATAGTGTGTATGTGACTGAACCCCTCCCCTTGAGAGATGGCTTCGGAATATATAGGCTGACAGAGATGGGATGCGGACAGTGTGTATGTGACTGAAACTCCCCTTAATATCTTTATACTAAATCAAATCTAGTGAACATCTCGTGTGTGATAAGAACTGTACCGCGGTATCAGCGAAATTTCATTACTGTAAGGACTGACAACCACACTATATCTTCATTCACTAATAATTTTATTCCTAGCATGTCCCAGTTTGACACGACTATGGAATTTATACCGGATTTTTTTGGACTTCTGGTTAAGATAGGTCTCTTCGCCAGCCTTGGTTTAGGTTTTCCCTATTTAGTTAGGTTTCCCTACACTGTTATGCGAATGCAGAGGCTCTTCATAAACAATATCAAATCATAGTATTGTATTGTCTCATAAGGCTTCTGTCTCCTGCAAGTAGATTGAAAAAGGGGTCTATAATAAGCCTCGACATGGTACATAGTATATCGTCTTAGCGACAGGCAACTTGACCAATAAGGAATAAGGATTAGTTAATCGTATTTGGTGAAGGGAGCTATTAGGCGCAAGTCGGACGGAGAACACTATCTGCTCTCCTAAAAGGAGCGAAGGCTCTATACAAATCACTATGACGTGTGGGCTCCCGCCTTGTAAGGCGCTAGGCCTAACCGGGTAGGCGAGGTGCTTTGCTCCGACAGGGAATATCTAAGGCGAGGCACGGTACGCCAGTATCAAGCACGCACGGTTATTCCTATTATATCCACAAAGTACATAAGAGATGAGCCAGAAAATAGGGCTGTCATATTGATTGATGATAATCTTCCAGCCCGGTGGTCTACCTTGGCGATCGTGGAAGGTCGGAAACACAGTGCGAGCAGGTTTGCGGCAACGTATGAGTAGATGTCTAATGACACTGACACGCGTCCAAGGGCCGATTAGACGATGACGGCCAAGCAAGTACGGGTGGATGAAGCGATCGCAATCCACACCGACACGACACTAGTGAATCTTAGTAGAAGGGAAATAAGTCTGACGGAAACAAGGACAATGAGGATCCCACATGGGCAGTCCCATACACGCTTGTAGCCTCCATGATGCTTGTATGCGACCAGAGATACTGTTATTTGAGGCGAACGTCTTAAAATATCTTAACACGACAGTGAGCCACATTAGGAGCAAACTGCTGCCATGGTTGCCAAAACTATTGTGGTGGGCCACAGTATCCAGACTGTCTAAGAAACTGTGGCATCCACCACAGACTTGGCAACTTACGACCATAGAGTGTGGAAAAGAGTGGCTTCCCGTCCGCTCAGCCGTACTTGAACCACATCAGCCAGTTAGTAGCTGGGCGGGTGGACAACCAAGCATATTTAGTCCAAACTTCTGAACGTTCTACTGGAGCTGCAAATCCTGATGGCGCCGATGTCGAGGAATAATCTCGTATGGAGCCTCTCAGTACGACCACATCATCTGGAAGCAATCAAAAATTGAAGCGTGTACATTGCTCCAAGGAGTACTACGTGCTTGAACTATACAGTATTCATAGTAGTACTATGAAGCGTATCATGCCTCAGTTACAGTAAAACCTCGTTATAACGAGATATTCCAGACAGACCATATTTCTCGTTATATCGAGGTTCTCGTTATATCAAGGATAGTATATATTAGTATATATTTAGCCTGTAAAATAGCTTTGAATGTCCTGCTGCGTCTGTAGGCTTAGCTTTTGACCCCAAAGGATACGCTCATGCTTATCTAGCTTATATATAAGGCTTGGGATACCCTCTGCCTGCTGCTCTTCATATAAATGAAGTGTTCTTAGTGCTTCTAAAGCCTCATCTAGTGGTATTTATAGTAGAACTTTAAGCTCCTCCTCAGAATCATTATTAAGCTCCAGCCTATACTGAGCTAGAATCTGGCTCTCAATATCTTTAGGAGTATCTTGGATAGCTTCCTCTATAGGGTTCAGAAAGGTATTAATATCCATGAGATCCTGGATAGGCGTAGAGAGCTTTAAGAGAGAGAATGCATTCTGTATATCATCCAGAACTGCTGGATCAACAGGCTCTTAATATAATGGTTAAGAATCTAGAGCCTTTTAAAAGTAATTCTGGATTACCTATCCAGAAAGATCAAATTCCCAGCTCTGGATTCCCTATCAAACCGCTCTTAGGATGTTCATTGACATGATTAGATCACAATTAAGCTCAAACTCTTAAAGGATAAAGCAAATCTAGTATCTTTTCCAGTATGACTTCCAACAGTGGATAATCCCTTGATTAAGAGGCTGATATTAGCTGGTAGAGTTTGCAAGAAGCCATATAATAAGAGTATTCTATAGTGGATAGCTACTAGATTAAATCTCTGTTATAGTAGCTTAATAAGCAGAGAAGTTATCTATAAGAAGGATAACATTCTGTCCACTCATCTACTTATCAAACTAATAAAGAAACTCTGTAAATATTAATATTGTAATCCAGGCTTTCTGGTTACTCTGCTAGATAAGATTCAGATTCTGTATATTAACACCAGCGGCTTGGAAAGCTCATGGATTCTTTGCTATACTAATAAACCATGGTAATAGCTTCTTAGAGCCATCCGCATTGCAATAAAAGAGGGCTGTTATGCGTGCTTTATCTTTCTTTTGACCTAGAAGCTGACATGTTAAAAGACTCTGTGCAGGAGAGCACTTCCAGAAGAGGCCAGTCTTATCACAATTAAACTAGTCCT